TATATATATATATATATATAAAAACAAAAATTTTTCTAAAGTGACACTGTCGAACAGCAACACCAACAATTAAAGTTACCGCGAGAGGCAGTGCCTCTCTGAGCTCATTGAGTTTTAAAGGGATACTCCACTTTTTTTGGAAATAGGCTCAATTTACAACTCCCCCAGAGTTAAACTGTTGAGTTTTACCGTTTTTGAATCCATTCAGCCGATCTCCGGTTCTGGCGGTACCACTTTTAGCATAGCTTAGCATACATCATTGAAGTGGACAAGACCATTAGCATTTCTCATTAAAAAATGACCAAAGTGTTTCGATATTTTTCCTATTTAAAACTTGACTCTTCTGTAGTTACATCGTGCACTAAGACCGACGGAAAATGTAAAGTTGCGATTTTCTAGGCTGATATGGCTAGGAACTATACTCTCATTCCTGCGTAATAATCAAGCAACTTCACTGCCGTACCATGAGTGCAGCAGGCGTAATGATATGACGCAGCGCCTGAAAATAGTTCCGTTGTGTTGATGGAAGGTGGCCTATTTTCAGGCGCTGCGTCATATCATTACGCCTAGCATTACGCCAAAAATATCGAAACTCTTTGGTCATTTTTTTTTTAGAAATGCTAATGGTCTTGTCCACTCCAATGATGTATGCTAAGCTATGCTAAAAGTGGTACCGGCAGAACCGGAGATCGGCTGAATGGATTCAAAAACGGTAAACCTCAACAGTTTAACTCTGGGGGAGTTGTAAAATGAGCCTATTTCCAAAAAAAGTGGAGTATCCCTTTAAAGGTGCAGTATGTGAGATTGACAGCTAGCGATTGAAATGGGTTCTGCAGTCCAAATTCCCCCGGCCCCTCCTGCTCAGACTCGAAGCTCACGCGGGTTGCCAGATTGAGGATGCAATGGAATGCGAGGAGACTTACACACTAAGTTGAGGAGTTGATTTATGATGAGTTGATATCGCGTTTTAATATGCGCCAGTTCATAGAGATTTTAAGATGGGTGCCGAGGCCTTTTAGGTCGGGTAGAATCTGCGGTCTTTGCCTCCATCGTGCTTTGATTGGCCTATTATATTGTTTACATGATAAATCCCGACTCTCATATTAATATATGTTCTGCATCCACAAACCGATCGAAATGAACAGTTAAATAATGCTGTTAATGGGAAGACTAAAATAAAATACTCACGCACTTAAGATATCAAAATCAGCTTGGTGAAATTAACACATCTTTGTGTCTGTGAGCAATATTTAGCTTTGATGACAGATGGTCCAAAAATAAGCCGACTATTAAACAGAACAAATAAAAAAGCAGCAAATAAAATATATATGAAATATTCCATCTGTTCTTATACTGTGTTCTTATACTTTTTAATTTTGAGTAAATGTAACAATGGTTAATGGCTTGATTAGATTTAAACTTGGTTTAAAAAAATAGAACAGTATTGTTCTATTGTAGAACATTAATGCAAAATAGAAGCATATTGATTTTTTAAGTATAAGTAATGTTTATTTATTTAACCTGGAAAATGTGCCAATACTACGTGTAACTGGAACATGAATTTACATGAAATAACACACTGCGGACTTTGCCTCCTCATTTCAGAACACCACTGCACACCAAAGAGAAAATGGTACTTTGGCACTGAATTATTGGTAACGCTTCCTTTTACAGTACAGTACTTACGTGTACTTACAGTGTACTTACCTAGAAAGTACTGGCTAATATAAGGTAAGTACATGGGTTAGGGGCAGGTTTAGGGGTAGGTTCAGAGTTAGTACCTAGTTATTACCCAGTAATTATAATTACTATAATAAGTACATAGTAAGTACATAGGTAACAGGACTGTAAAAGGAAGCGCCGAAGCGTTACCGAATTATTTCCATATTCACATACCATTGTACTCCATGGTACTTCAAAGAATAACATGGCACTACTGAGGTACAATAAAGTTACAAATATTGAAAAAGAGTTCAATAATACTGGTGAAAAAGAGCAGAGCGTGCACGAGTGAGAGACAGATTAAGAGTTAGACAACTGGCTGGACTGAATCCTAGTTTCTCCAGGTGGATGAACACAGCAGGCTTAAGAACAACATTTTTCGACACTGATGCATTTCCTGCAGCACAACTCCCTCCATGCTGTAAAATGCTGAGACTATTAACCCACATCAAAGAAACCAGTGGATGAGCCAACAAAACATGCACGAGCTTGAAACATGAAACTGTACAACATGTTTGGTACCAACACCTGGCACCAATAGAGCAGCAGTGGTCCTCAAACTGAGGTCTGCAAACCACTGGTGATGCTAGAGGATTGTGGCCAGCACTAATAATAATAATAACAACAACAACAACAACGACAAAAGAACCAACACTGAAAGTGACTAATTCATCAACTCATAAAAATGAATGAACTGGTTGTTTTAACAATTTTACAGTAAAGCAGGGCTCGCAAGTAGTTGAAAATGGGGGGGAGGGGGGGGGTTATACTTTGTAATATCCATGACTCCTATAAACAGTATCCATGACTAGCAAGTAGACGATATCAACTAAACCTAATCATACAAAAATCCAGTAATGTCTAGTAACTACCCAGACCAACATGTAGTATGGACACAGATAAAAAGGTTTGGAATTTTGTAGTTTATGTTACTGGTCTTATGCTGGCAGGCATGTACAGACACAATAAACATGCAGGCAACACAGAGATGATGCAATCCATATATGAAACTGAGGTTCACTTTTGAGATGTCATGCTAACTTTTGAAAGACAACATACATGGTCACATTATAGCTATAAATAAATGGGATAGATAGATGGATAGATTAATAGTGTATCAAACAAGATTAGCGAAATTCAAAATATGAAATGTGTAAGTGTTTCAATGTAAATTAATTTATACCAAAAAGATGTGCAGAGATAACTGCAAGTAAACCATCTGCATGTCAAACTCCCTGTATAACATTTAACGGTTTCGTCTGAGCAGTACTCAACATTGACTCGATGGTGTGAGTTTAGGTGGGGACAACCTGTTTGTTTAAAGTTATGGCAGATGGAGACCTATTTGGTGTTTGTGTGAAATTAGCCTGCAATAACTAGTGGAGACTAATAGCATAGTAGCCTACCTGCAGTGCCCCCAAAAGCATGCCAGTGTATTTCGAATCCTTCAGCCAATGACATACCATGCATTATGCTTAATGTTACAGCAAAACCCAGCAGTCTACAGTATATCTGTAGATGGTTGGTGGTAGGGCTGCACGATATCCGGGTTTAACATCAATATCGTAATGTGTATATTCGCGATAGTCACATCGCAGGATGTGTGATGTCAAGTATAGGGATCGTAGTTTATCCGTACAGACCAGGCACCATGATTCGAAAAGCACCTGTTTCTCAGATTAATTGCAAAGTTTAACCATCACAGACTGTTAGGACCTAAAAATGTGCAAATGATAAACTTTCCATTTAAACATTCAAGCGATTTTAAACCTTTCGATGGTAAGACGACACGAAAGAGAACTCAATTTCGCACGCTGTTTTCTGTGGGCACACACAGAGCAGCACAGACAGTATGCAAACACTGAATTCTGGTCTCCTCCTTGTCTATTTGTGCTTGAATAGACACACACGTAAAATTATGCCAAAATGCCCATCTTTCTTCCTAGGCATAGTATAAACTTCCAGACAGGTGTGTCTGTTGAGGCAAGCTGAAGCTAAACTCTGCAGGACAGTGGCCCTAAAGGACTGAGTTTAGTTCACATAAGCCCCTGGCTTATGTGAACTACACAATTGAGAAAGAAAACAGATGCGTATCATTATGGATTCGTGCCTAATATTCCTGCTGCTGTCTGTGGCATTGTTCAACAAATCAAACAACAAAATACAAAGAAAATCACTTTTGTAGCTTTAACAAAGATGAATTATTTTTACATTTTACATTAGATTTTTCAATTTATGTAGGCCTACCTGAAATACAAAGCACTGTTATTTCCTTTGTATCTTTGTTCTATTGTATTTATCTATGCTTGCAATTTGTTAATTATTTTCTACACAGATTCACTCCAATAAAATAAAAAAGTCAACCCAATCATTCTGGAATCATTAATTCTTCCTAAATAGAGCCATTCAAGTAATGATTTCCTATCGCAATGTATATCGCAGAAAAACAAACTATTACAATGTCAGGTTTTTTTTTTCAATATCATGCTGCCCTAGTTGGCTGGCAATGCTGCCTGAAAATAAAGTTTCCTGTGTATCATCACCTGAGTCATGCATGCTGTTTGCCAAAGAAAATAAAGGTATGAGAAAAAGAGAGAGGGTGAGAGATGCTAGAAAGTTATCAGAAGCTTTAAACCAACCTTTTCTCTCTCACACACATACATACATATATCTCTGCTTCAACTACGATAAACAAATTAGTCATCTAGGGCTTGCTGAGAACACTGACTCACTAACACTGCATTCTCTCACTCCCCCTGCTGCAACACACACTCAGCCAAGTACATAGCAGTCCCTTAAAGTGGATATTAAAAAAAGATAAACATTTTGGGCAAATGAGTTAGAGAACGCAACAGGAAGGAGATGGCAAGAGGAGGGGGGCCATTTCAATAAAGTTGTTTTGAACAGTTTGTCCAAAAATTACAAATTCTGTCATTTACTCACCCTTATGTCATTCCAAACCTCTACGCCTTACTTTCTTCTGTAACACACTCAAAAAATATATTTTGAAGATACAATTAAAGTCAACAGGGTCCAAACAACATTGGACTTTCAGTGTATGGGGATTTTTTTTTTTTTTCTTGACTATATTTTTTGTTCCACCAAAGAAAGAAACGCATACAGGTTTGGAACGACACAAGGGTGAGTAAATGAATTGGCATATCAAATTTTGGGGTAAACTAACCCTTTTAATTTACTAAAAAATATTTTCATAGATTGTAATGCAGTATGGATGACTGTCAAGAAAAACAATTAGAGTCAAATCAAAGATTGCTAACCTTTAGACACTGCTGTAAACTCCTCAGATTTCATTAAATCTATGCTGGCATAGGCACCGTTCTCTGGAGGAGGAGCGCTGGGGGATGGCAAGGGAAGCGCATCATGAGCGTTCCCAGGCCGGAGATCATCTCTCAGGTCTAGGGAGATGTAGTTCAGGCCATTCTGGTGTTCCACAGTTATAGTCCTTGCAGACCTTACAGAGGGGGAATTTGCTCTATCTGATGTGGTTCCCAGCATTACATCACTACTGGAAGGCATGCTATCAATCCAAACGCAGTCAAAAGTTTGTCCCTTGTTGCGGCCCACCTGCTGAGCCCCAACATTGCTAGGTACGGTGCCATTGGTGTCCGAGCCACTTCCACCTGACGCTCCCGAAGATGTGACAAAGGTCTCTGAACTGTGTCTCCGCCTGCCCTGAGGATCAGCACGGACAACTTTGGGCTCAGTCGGGGGGCTGAAGGGGAAAAACTGTTGCTCCAGAACACATAGGTGCTCAAGCATGGCTGTGGGGCTCTTCGACTCGTCCTCAGGCCCAAAGGACATTTCTGTGTAGTCGTCAGGCTTACCCACCATGAGCCCGCTGCAGTGGGAGGATGAGGAGGGCCGGATATATGAAGGAGGATTCCAAGGGGCAACCAGAGAGGGCCGAGGGGACCGACTCTTAGGTGGAAGTCCAGCCACCTCGACAGTCATGTAGTCCTGCGGCAGAGGGGACTTACGCTGCTCCCGGTTGATACTGAGGTTTGATGGAGAACCTTCAGCAGACAACGGGCAGGCAGTATATGTGGGCCGATCCCCAAATTCAATATTCATGTATTCTCCAGGGCTGGAAGGCCGCACTGCCGCTTCACATGCTCTCAGAGAGCCGTGACTTCGCCTTCCTAGAGGCAGACGGTTCGGCCGAACAGCACGGCGGTCCGTGAAGCTATTATGCTGAGAAGACTCAGAAGGTGGGCACCTGCTACTGCGATCTGGGGTGGCTGTGGGCGAGATGTAGACTGGTTTCGCTGGGGAACTCATGGGGACATAATCATCATGCTCAGCCTGGTCTCTGGATGGCGCTTTGTATGAACGAGGGAGAGAGAAATATGGACTGTAGGACTTGGGGACACCAGGAGTGGTCAAGGCATAATAATTCTCTGTGGAAAGCTTTTGAGCATTAGCTGTGGAGCTGCTCTGAGACATATCCATGTATTCTGCATTCTTGGGGCAGTCAGAGGCTCTCTGTGCCTCTGCTCGTCTGCTAATGTCAGGGCTGGAGGGGAGGGGGGAGTCAGCAGCCCCACTCCTACCTGGGAGCATCATCATGTAGCCTTGAGAGTCTGTGTGCTGGGGAACATTTAAAGCAGACCTTTGGATTTGTGGAGAGGCAGAGAGGAAGATATTTGGTTGCATAGGCATGTAGTCTGCATCACTAGTGGAGGGCAGCACACCTGCCATCATGGGCATGTACCCATCATCCTTAGGAGCGTCAGCAGGCCGTAGGCTAGGGGGCCGGTCCTGGCTGTGTTCAGAACTGGAGCTGTAGTCAGAACAGAGGGAGGAGGAGGTAGAGACAGTCTGGGCACTGCCACTCCAAGAGCTACTCTCAGCCACAGCCTCGTCCAGCGAGAAGGTGGTCTGGGTCATCTTTTGATAAACAGCTACTCCAGCAGCACTAGCACCCCCAACGTACCTGGAGAAGGAGGTCGTCCGCCTCCTTAAAGACCCCGGGCGTGAATCTTCATCAGCACTCTCATCTCGGGTGGCCTCAGCCGCGCTCGTTCCGAACACGTCACGATTCCAGCCCATAGCCATGTAGTCATTGAGGCAGTGCTCCTCACGGATGGGTGGTGTGTTTCCCAGGGAGTCGGGGGTGTTGCTGCGTACTCTGAAGTAGCGGAAGTCTCCAGGGCTGGAGCCATACTCGTCAGATGAGTTGAAACCTCCATCGCTTGGGGATCCACAAATGGATGCGCTGGAAGGGCGAGTGATGGTGTCTGACACAGAGCCATGCCCGCTGCTGCTAGACATGCTGATCGGACTGGTGGTTGAAGGGAAGTGTGACACTGGCAGCGAGGCTGAACGGGCATGATAATTGGAGCCCGGTGGGGCACGAATGTAGCGGCCTCCGGCCCCACTGCTACTTTCCTGCCGGCTCAGGTTAGCACGGGCTGTGTTGAGATGAATAAGGCTACCTGTCACAGAGCGAAAGGGACGGTTCATTGTGCTCTCTCCCTCGCTGGAGGTGCGGAATCGGTATCCGTTCGCTCCACTGCTCTTCCTGCTAGATGGAGTGCCCACCACAGACTCTGTCCGAGACCGCCGCTGGAGCCCTGTCTGGCTGGGCGGCAGATTGCCCAAATGTCGCCGCGTAGTGATAAAGCCCATCGGGTTGGTGCCAGAAGACTGGCTTTTGCTTCTGGGCCTGAACTCAGTAAATGCCTTCAGCGCCTTCATGGTCTCTAAAATGGTCTCATGCATGTTTTGAGCCACCACAGAATCATCCACCTGCATCCAAACCTCCCCAGGCCCTATAGAAGAAGAGCGGCCAACCTCAATAAAAAAGAAGCTCTCCGAATGGCCACAGCGTCTGATATTCATCAGCTGCAAGTTCACGCAAGGCGTCTCAGAGTTCAGCTTCACCAGGTGGATGCTCTTGGCAGAGAGACAGAGCCTATACACGCCAGTTAGATTCTTCGTCTGGCCCAAGCCCTTTGGTTTAACATTCACCTGCCACACTTCCTTAAAGTCAGTCCCTGGGGTCACAGTACCGTATCCATCGTCAATCTCTTCCGCGTCCAGGTGGCCCCTCTTCCCCTCACTCATAAGCTCGCTGAGCGCCTGGTACCACTCCTCCTGCTCCTGCTCATTCTCAGCAACAATAGCAAAGTATTCATCCTTAGTATACAGAGCAATGAGATGTTTATTCTTTGAATCTGCCCTTTTATTCACCGTGAAACACTGGTAGAGATAGATCACTCTTTTGGGGGGAGAGGCGCCAGCTGAGGCGGCGGCAGCAGCGCTCGAGCGCAGGGTGTTTCGGAATTTCTTCTCGCTGTCATAGTATTCCAGTCTGCTCGGCCCCAGTTTACTCGACCCCCGCAAGACGAAAAACCTCTTATGGCCGTGTTTCTGCTTTCTCAGATAACCGCACTTCCTAATTTCGTCAGACACAGCAGAGCTGGAGTTCACAGCTGGGGAAGCTGAGGTAGCGTGTGTGTTGCTCGCAGCAGAGTCCTCGTACGCCCGGTTAAACGAGGTCGTGGATCCTTTCCTCGCCGGTGATTCCAGGTGGTGTTGATGTTGATCACTCGGTTGATGAAAAGCAGCGCCGCCGACATCCAGTACGGAAGGGGGTTCCCCGACAGAGATGTCGCCGTTCGCCGTTGCAGGTTTACCGTTAGTCCCGATAGCCCGCTGTTGCGTTTCCAGCATCAACATAGCGGCTTTGCCTTCTTGGTAGTTCGCGAAATTTGCCATCAGATAGGAGATTAAAGGTCACTTTACCTCATACTTATAGACCGAGACCCCATGTTTGTTTGGGGGGAACCGTGTCTCAAGCGGCGCGCTGAAGTCTTTTCAGTGTTGAGCTTCTCTCGGCCGCCACATGAAAAGCAGATATCCCAGTCAATGCTCCTAGAACTCAATGCCAGCGACTGCAACATGACCACATTTACCCGATCTATTATCGGTAGATCCTCCTAGCGGGCTACCAATCTGCTCCTCGCGCCCTGTGTGTACACTACGGAGCACAGCACAAACAACACATGACTCGTGCGTCATTCGCTTGTGGGTGGCAGGAGGCACCCGATTGAGCGAAACGTGTGATTGAAAGCTGCTACGACCAATCACGCTGGGCCTTTTCGGTGATACGTCAATGTGACTGACCAATGGCTTCACTCGGAGTTTCATTGAACTGGCAAAGTGACGTCTCATGATTGATAGAGTTTTGTCCAATGATTTGATGCAAAGCAGTTTGCGTCATAGGATATCGAGCGTTCATTGGCTGTAGCTTTTGGCTGAAGGGTCATCCGTCCTATCACAGGCGTTTTCATGGTTCCTTGTCGTCGGTGTTGTTTATCCCTTTCGTAATACGTATCACTTGATAGTTTTCTACTTACTGCAGCCGATTGTCTAATTACCTTTGTTACGTGTTTGCCAATGAATACATCCTTTTATCCCATTATTATTGTATTTTGCCGGTGATTGGTATTTTCAACTCAAGAAGTCTGGATTTGTAATGTACTAACTTGCAAGCCACTCGTGTTACACTAACACTACCTACAGCAGCACTGGCAATTAAAGGTGTTTTGTAAGTGTGTTGAGAGAATGTTCTTGTAAATTTAAATTTCTTCACATTTCTGTGGGACATATGCTCGTAACATCTTCATCTTGAATATCAAAACTGTCAGTCAGAGGCAGATAGATTAATAATAGTAAGGTTTCATGATAGCAAAGTTCAAAATCAATACCTAATCATTAAGATTGTTTAGTATAAATGACATTGTTTGGAGAATTCATATTCTGACTTTCTACTAGCTTTTAAAAATTGCCATCAATTACAATTATTATTTTATATATAGACTCAGCAAAAAGTCTTTTTACAATGACCAGGAGTAATGTTTATAAGAAAAGTTATGATTTTATTTTGAGGCAAGCTAATTTGATGAAATCCAGATAAGCTTGATATATCTTTATTGAAAGGGGTTTGAACAATGTTTTTCATGCTTGTTCAATGAACCACATCTACATGCACCTTGCAACAGTCCTTAAGACACTACAGGACGTAGACAATTAAGTTCACAGGTCCAATAACTTAGGACCTTTCTACTGACTCTGAAAAACACCAGAAGAAAGATGGCCAGGGTCGCTGCACACTTGTGTGAACATGCTATTGGATAATATAGCAATTCAGTCACCCAGTGCTGTTTAATATATACATATATAGGCTATATTTTTATTTTATTTTAAATGATTAATTAATATTAACTTTAAATTCTATAAATTACATTACATTATTAATACCTTTTGTTATTCAAGTTTAAAAACTGTTCCACTGCCAACATGTCTCATTCACACGATGAAACATTTCACCCTGTTTGACCTGCTGAGAAATTATTGTGAAATAATTACTTGGTTCACTCATGTGGAACTACTATAAGGTCAATAACAAATTGAAATGTGTTTTGGTGAAATAGATATGAGGATCAATTTTGATTGTCTGTTTAATTGATGGCCAGTTGGCATGATGATTTCATTTTCATTAGAAAGCTTTTTCAGTGAGTATTTTGTGCCATTGTTTTCCCATACAGAGACATTGATGCCTTAAGCACAGTGTGACTTCTGAAATACCAAAATGTATTATTGAAAATATAAATTTTAGACCGATTTAAAAAACAGCCATCCAAAGACATATGGCAATTACACTGAGAGAGTAAGAAGAAACAGTTAATAATGATTAAAAATCACTATCTATAAAGTATTGGGTAATCTTGCTGTGAGTTTTTGAACAGGTTTTGAAAAAAGGTAATCTGGTTAGGGGTGACCTGGTGGCTCTGCAGTCTTATGTCTTATACGAGTCAGTACTGGATAATCCACATAGGGCATGATAATGTAGGTCGCCATCTGCTGCGTTTACTGACATCATAACAAGAGGGCACTGTTATACTGTATTTCTTTAACTACAGTGTGACTGCAAAGTATTTCAAGACATTATAATACAGTACACGCACATTAGCACAATCAGTATTAAACTATAGCTAATTTTAAATAAATGACACCTGATATTTTCAGATATTGTTTTTATTTTTACAGTACATGTGGAATTTATTAAAAAAAAATTTAATGAAATAGTAGTATTTGTCTACACATATACACTACCATTCAAAAGATTGGGGTCAGAAAAGGTTGTTGTTGTTTTTTAAACTATGTGTACTATTATTCCATTTCAAATAAATGCAGTTTTTTAACATTACATTCATCAAAGAAAAGTGAAAATAAAATATTTCCTAAAAAATATGAAGCATCACCACTGGTTTCAACATTAATAATAATAAGTGTTCCTTGAGCAACATATCAGCATATTAAAATGATTTCTGAAGGATCATGTAACACTGAAGACTATTATTTAAAATAGAAAACAGTTATTTAAATTGTAATAATATTTCTTAATATTACTATTTTTATTCATAAAAAAAATCTCACCAACACAAAACTTTTTAGCGGTATACATACACTAATCCTGCTTCTAAAACCACAATATGGATTCATGCATTGTAATACATATTTTGATATTCTGTCTCACCTAGTTTTCATGGTTATCCTATTATTATAGATTATGCTAACTGACCATGTAGAAAACACCTCATAAAAATCATATCATTTAAATTGCCACTAGTTATTCCCTTTAACACATGAACACTTATACTATCTAAAATTAGAATATTCAAATCCTCACAGGGACATATGCACCATATTAATACTGGTAGCACAATTATGTGGGCTTTTCTAGTTTATCTCAATACTATATTTACTATTTTCTTCAGTCACAGACATGTTTTCTAAGAGGGGGGATAATCCGCAAGTGAATGGTGCGAATTGATTTGTTATGTGTTAAGTCTTTGAGCTGGACCTGACGCCATTCTCTCGCTGAGTGGTGGATTCCCACAGGGTAAATGTAGCTTCTTGTGAGACTTTGGTTCATTTCAAAAAGGTTGTTCTGGTAGAGAATAGAGCAATGGGACAGAAATGTATCTTGTATTTCCTACAGCTGTACATGTTAAGTGAGGTGAACCACCAAGACTCCAAATGAAAGGTTTATCTTATGAGACGGTGAACAGCAATATAGGTTCAATATGGTTTGATATGTTGAAAGCTTCTCCAAAGCAAATGTTCTAATGTTCTAGTGAGAGAAAAAAAGTGCAGGTACTCCCGACGGTTGGAATTGCGGTCGCAATAACGGCAACATAGGAGAAGTGCCGGTACGCAAGAAAAAGTGAGGGTACGCTACAGATATAGTATAGCATAATAAAATATAGTGCGACCCGGCCCACTTCGGACACTGGTTTTACCAAAAAGCCTGACTTTCTACCATAACTGAGAAGTCCCTGTTCAGTAAACTGTACACTTAAGCTTGCTTCATTAGGTGCTTTTAAATGAAAAACAGACTGAAAACAAGCAAAGAATGTTTTGGTGCTCTTTTAACTTGTTCTCCATTTCTTCACATTCCATTTCATTCTGAGTACAGGTGTGGGTTCAAAAAGGCAAAGGTTAAAGGTCATCAGTGATGGTGGATCAAGACATTGCCCTCATCGGCTAGGGTGAGCTGAGCAACCTGACGCACAGTGGAGATCTTCTTCACCGCCTTCTTAAGCATCACTTTAAAATCTCTGGATTCAATTCTGTAAAATAGAAAAACAAAGAAGGATCACACCTTAGTGTATCGAATACATCACCAAATGACAAAACAATGTTTTTGACTGTCCGTCAAAAACATTTGTCCCACAAAAACATCAGAAAGAGAAAATTATATTTAAGAATACATTAATATCAACTTCATTTAACTGTTATATATAAATATATATATATATATATATATATATAAAGTGGTTTAATTTGTCAATATTATAGTCCCCCTGTGGTGAAAATCAAGTTTTTAAAGTGGTTTATATGTCATTTTATTGATCAAAGATGAGTTGTAAGTGATAAAATTATTGACTACAGGGGGACTTTGATTATCTACATTAGTTAACAAATTAACAATAATGCAACAAAAAAAAACATTACAATTTATCACTTGGAAAAGCACTGTAAACTTGTGAATATATATATATATATATATACTTTGTTTTGGTCTATGTTAAAACATGAAACACTGAGAACACACAAGACATTCAGAGCATGACAGAACACACAAACAGAAACATAACAGCATGCCAAACATAGCCAACGATCCATTTTGAAAAGCCGGCTATCCATATCTGAAGAGTGCCATCCAATCTGGAAGGAGAGAGCTTTAATAACCACTATTCAGGCTAGTCACAAATCTTTAAGACCAAAAATATCTATGAGGGTGTACAAAGTTACCAGAAATGACGACATCACCAAATCACACACACAGACAATTTCATTTTGATTTAAGGGTTAGTTTGGTAAAAATCTACTACATTAAAAGTAAATTTTACATTAAAAAACTTCACGTACAAATGTATAAACTGACAATTGCAGAACTGAACAGAAAAAATTTGAAATAGTGGAAAGATAAATGCATAATGTAGTATCATCTGAGAAACATTACTTGAAAGTAGAAGAACTGAGTCTTGTGTATGATTGGAGAATGAACCCAACCAAAATGGGAAAAATTGGCAATAGCTTCCCACAGTGACTCTTTACCCCCTGTCTTTTCATCCTCCCCACCTCCCTCAACTCCCTGTGCCACATTGAGTAATGTTATACATTCTCCATGCATAACATTACCTCAGTTTTTCTTCTTTGCAAGCTGCGCTTCTGCTTTCCACTTCTTGTATGCGGCTATCTCCTCCATCTGCAAGCCATGAGCCATTTGCCTGAAAAATACATTGGAGAAAATAAACAGAAGACACACACACACAGACTGCAGGACACAGGCCACGGAAAGGCCTCCGCTTACCCTGACTTGAGAACGGGCGGCGTAGGGAGCGGTTTGGTGAAGCTGTCCCTCCCTGTGAGCCAGTAGGTTTCTTCTATGCCCTTGCCCTGTGGAAAACAGAGCAAATCCAATCCATTCAGATGACCTGTCGATCTAAACCCATCAACTGGATCATTCAAAAATTATTTTTACTTGTTGGATGGCACTAGTAAAAGAAAAGTGAGAGAATTTACTGCATTTGGAGACAAACCTTAATATCACTATTAGTTACTGGCACATTATACCATTCAGCTGCCATTTTGGGAAAAATGTATCATTCAATTCATGCCTCAATTAGCATACAGTTTGGATTGGCGGTATGGTTCCGTTCTGGGAAAGAACTCCCTGCGCATCCATGCAGCCTATCAAGGATAAGAGCAGGGAGAGTAGCAATAACCCCCCTTAGGGTAAACAGAACAGAACCAACATGAATGTATTGCAGATATCATTCATTCAAGATTTTAAAATACAACAAAATTCGAGAATTTATTCTTGATTCAAGGGGAATCAGAATGCCAAATGCTGACTGACGAGAGGAGCTGGGGATGGAGGAGGTTAATTAGGTCCTGAGAAACGTGATAGCAGCTGATAATACTGAAGGAGCTTATATACACTCACCTAAAGGATTATTTGGAACACCATAATACTATGTTTGACCCCCTTTCACCTTCAGAACTGCCTTAATTCTACGTAGCATTGATTCAACAAGGTGCTGAAAGCATTCTTTAGAAATGTTGGCCCATATTGATAGGATAGCATCTTGCAGTTGATGGAGATTTGTGGGATGCACATCCAGGGCACGAAGCTCCCGTTCCACCACATCCCAAAGATGCTCTATTGGGTTGAGATCTGGTGACTGTGGGGGCCATTTTAGTACAGTGAACTCATTGTCATGTTCAAGAAACCTATTTGAAATGATTCGAGCTTTGTGACACAGTGCATTATCCTGCTGGAAGTAGCCATCAGGGGATGGGTACATGGTGGCCATAAAGGGATGGACATGGTCAGAAACAATGCTCAGGTAGGCCGTGGCATTTAAACGATGCCCAATTGGCACTAAGGGGCCTAAAGTGTGACATGAAAACATCCCCCACACCATTAAACCACCACCACCAGCCTGCACAGTGGTAACAAGGCATGATGGATCCATGTTCTCATTCTGTTTACGCCAAATTCTGAGTCTACCATCTGAATGTCTCAACAGAAATCGAGACTCATCAGACCAGGCAACATTTTTCCAGTCTTCAACTCTCCAATTTTGGTGAGCTCTTGCAAATTGTAGCCTCTTTTTCCTATTTGTAGTGGAGATGAGTGGTACCCGGTGGGGTCTTCTGCTGTTGTAGCCCATCCGCCTCAAGGTTGTGCGTGTTGTGGCTTCACAAATGCTTTGCTGCATACCTCGGTTGTAACGAGTGGTTATTTCAGTCAAAGTTGCTCTTCTATCAACTTGAATCAGTCAGCCCATTCTCCTCTGACCTCTAGCATCAACAAGGCATTTTCGCCCACAGGACTGCCGCATACTGGATGTTTTTCCCTTTTCACACCATTCTTTGTAAACCCTAGAAATGGTTGTGCGTGAAAATCCCAGTAACTGAGCAGATTGTGAAATACTCAGACCGGCCCGTCTGGCACCAACCACCATGCCACGCTCAAAATTGCTTAAATCACCTTTCTTAAATCACCACACCCCTAAATGCATTGAAGCAACTGCCATGTGATTGGTTGATTAGATAATTGCATTAATGAGAAATTGAACAGGTGTTCCTAATAATCCTTTAGGTGAGTGTATCTATACAGTGATAGGCGTTGTATTCCTATAGGTAGACGTGGATCAGCTGAGTCAGCTGAGAGCTTGATTATAACGTGACCTGCCAGAACTGACACTACGCTTGATATTTACACGGTTTTACCATCACCAAACCATTGTAGCATATAATGCACCATAACACATTACCATTCAAAAGTTTTGGGTTAGTAAGATTTTTTAAATGTTCTTGAAAGAAGTCTTTTATGCTCACTAAGGCTGCAGTTATTTGATTAAAAGCACAGTAAAAACAGTAATACTGTGAAATATTATTACAATTTAAAATAGCTATTTTCTATTTCAATATATTTTCAAATGTAATTTATTCCTGTGATGGCAAAGCTGAATTTTCAGCAGCATTATTCCAGTCTTCAGTGTCACATGATTCTTCAGAAATCATTCTAATATGCTGATTTGATGCTCAAGAAACATTTCTAATCAATGTTAAAAACAGTTGTGGTGCTGCGAGAAAAAAAATGCAGGCCTCTTTGATAAATAGAAAATTCAAAAGAACAGCATTTATTTAAAATAAAAATCTTTTGTAACATTGTAAATGTCTTTACTGTCAATTGATCAATTTAATGTGTCCTTGCTAAATAAAAATATTAATTTCTTTTTTTTTTAAACTGACCCCAAAATTTTGAAGTAGTGTATAAACAAGTAATTGTGAGACAAATTATATGAAATGTTTTGGTTTGTCCTACAGATGAATTCACCTTGAGTTCTGTTCTGGCTCTCAGCTCTACTTGGTACCCCAATTTCAGCTCCATCAGGATATTCACTGTACTGGAATGGACATGGATTCTGTACGCTGCAAACACACAAACTTTAAGTGTCTTTTTTTTTTTTTTAAGAACTTTAAGAACAATTTCCTTGCCCGGCAAAAGCAAACTATACAATTGATGACAGTCACTGAATTTCATTGATTATAGAGATGTTAATAATTTGAATCACTTTAATGTAATGAGACATACATGATTGATCTTTGAAATACAGAAACAGAATTGTTTATGGTGAAACTAAGGCTGTTTCTCAATATGCGTTTTTGAAAGGTGAGTTCACCCAAAAATTAAAATTCCAAACCTGTAAGACCTTCGTTTATCTTCAGAACACAAATAAAGATATTTTTGATGAAATCCGGGAGGTTTCTGTACCAGCCATAGGCAGCAACGTCATTGCAAATTTCAAGGCCCAGAAAGATAGTTATGACATTGTTAAAATAGTCCATGTGACTACAGTGGTTCTTTAATGTTAAGAAGCGACGAGAATACTTTGTGAGCGTAAAAAACAAACAAAAATAACGACTCTATTCAACAATCTCTTCTCCTTCATGTCAGTCTGCTATGCTGATCACGTTGTAAACACAGTTCAGCGCTTCCAGGTTCTACATCAGAATGCCGGTTCAATTTTGGCTGACGACACATGAGTGTGATGCTGACGCAGGAGTCAGCATCAGCATCAATGAGCCGCCGTTCTGACGTCGCTTCATAACATTAAGGTTGAATCACTGTAGTCACATGGACTATTTTAACAATGTCTTTACTACATTTCTGGGCCTTGAAAGTTGCAATGACGTTGCTGCCTAATGTAATTTCAGAAAGCTCTCGGATTTCAGCAAAAAATATCTTAATTTGTGTTCCGAAGATGAACGAAGGTCTTAAGGGTTTGAAACGACATGAGGGTGAGTTATTAATGACAGAAATTAGATTTTTGGGTGAACTAACCCTATAAGCAATCTTGCGTCCTTGTGTTCTTGTACTACATCATCATCAACCGTCGAAGTTCAATTCCAATACTCGAGAATGCAAGAACAGAGAATGCATGTAAGTACCCAGATGTGTTCTTGATATCGAAGGATGCATTGAGTGCAGACTTAAGAGAATCGAACAGTTAAAAATCCAAGAAGTCATTGTGGGCGGACGACGTCCGGAAGCCGGTAAGCTTGTTCTAATGGTTCTCACTTAAGAGATTCCCGCTGAAAGCTCGCAAATACGTGATGGCTCGTGAAAGTAAACATTTGTCGTTTTATCTGGCATCATTTTAATAAAGTTATAAATACCTAGAGAAAGCCTGTAGTACTTTTTAATTGGCATATTTAAAAGAATCTTAAAGTTGACAAAGCGTAACATTAAATATACATACTCATTTACACATACTAATGTAAAATAAAAAGATGTCCAACAATAACAATAATGTAAGTACTAGGGGTGGAACGGTTCATGTATTCGTATCGAACCGAAACGGTACGGGCGTCACGGTTCGGTGCACGAATTTACACGGAGAATACACGGTATAAAAAAATTTAAAAAACTCGCGTGCAAATTAATTAATGTATTGCGGAACTACTGTTAGATACGCGGGTTCTTTAGGGACACATAATCTGTACCATCGGCTTAGCTCTGAACGCGCGTTCACTTCAAACGTTGGCTTTGTACGCGCGTCCTATTCGCTTTGGACTAGCGTCGAACTAGACGCGAATTTGAAGCTCTATCGCGTTTGGTGTGACCGCATAATGAACAGGCTGCGATGTCAAGATTGCAATGCTGGAGAGTGTGTGTGTGTGTGCGAGAGAGAGAGAGAGAGAGAGAGAGGCGCGCGGGCGCGATCGAACTGTGTGTGTGAGAGAGAGAGAGAGAGAGAGAGAGAGAGAGAGAGAGAGAGAGTCATTTTGTTTATACAGATCATTAAACCTGCAAAGTGTTTACTTATATTTGTGTACACTCGCAATAAAACACAACATTGTGCTTTTGTCACACTGTAAACTCTTGTCAAACTGTAACCTACAACTGTCACCCAACCAAAATCACATACACACTGTTTTAAAAGCAAAACATATTTATCCAACTCCATTTCAAAACAGTCTGTCTTTTGGACATTCGTCATATTGCATTGGTTCTTACACATTCAACATTGATTAAAAAAGAAAATCGAATGTGTTTTTAATGGTAGTATTATTTTATACAGAAATCAATTATTTATAATTCAGATGAGAATAATGTTACATTGTCAATTAATAATGTTAATTAAAATTAAGGAAAACAAATATATTGATCTGAAATATAGCAAAATAATTTTAAGTTAATAGTACAATTACCAAACATTTCGCAAGGTCTTTTTGTCTTTTTATTAATTTAATTAATAAACTAATTATATAAAACTATTGTCAGTGCACTACAAATAAACTGGTTCTATGCCTTTATTAATAAAACTTATTTAAAAAATACAATGCCTTCAGCATTTTTTGTTTTGCTTTTTCCCTCCATTGTACCGAAATCGTACCGAACCGTGATGTCTGAACCGAGGTATGAACCGAACCGTGACTTCGGTGTACCGTTCCACCCCTAGTAAGTACATATTTAAATAGGTTATGACATCTGTGATGTTATGTTTTATTCATTTTGCATTGGATGGTGCTGTCCCACTGCCTAATATGTGCTGAATGGTCAGATGAGCAACAAGATCACAGCGCATCTCAATTCTCACAAAGATGCGTTCTGTGTCCTTGTGTCCTTCCGAGCTCGTTCTTTTAAGGTAGCCTGGAAAGACTGGTCTCCACGAGAACGCAAGTCCGATCTTTGCGTTCTTAGAAATTAGAAACAGTCATAGTGTCACATGCTTACGCAATCCAGTAGACTCCATTCTAGAAGCAGTGGTAACCGTGTCCCCGAACAGACAGTACCGCGGCATGGTCAAACCCACTACACCAGCCACACAGGGACCTAATAAGAAAGCATACATAACGTAAATGAAATGTTCAACATTTTTTTACATTTCATCTTAAACCAAATGGCATGGATCCGCCTAACCTGAGTGAAGTCCTATTCGGATGCGGACCGGTACATCAGGCATATGCCTCATTTTGAAGGTACCAACAGCACTCAGGATGTCCAGGGCCATGTTTGCAATTTCGGCTGCATGTCGGTTTCCATTGGGCACGGGCACACCTGATGCCACCATGTATGCATCACCGATGGTCTCCACCTGCACGCAATGGAAACAGAGACTGAAAGATTATGATATTCATGACAACAATGTTACATGGTTACAACAAAACAAAGGAAATCTCTGTGGAAGCAAACACATTTGCTTATACAGTGATTAAACAATCAAAAAAGCTATTTAATAAATGCAAGTTACCTTATAGACATCATGATTGCCGATTACAGCGTCAAATGTTGTGTAAAGGTCATTGAGGAGGTCAACCACCTCAATAGGCTCACTGTTGGCTGAGATTGTGGTGAAGCCAACAATATCACTGAAATAGAGACTGACACTGTCAAAATGCTCGGGTTCAACTGTAGTGCCCAGCTTCAGAGCCTCTGCCACTGACCTACAGAGGATTAGGTAACGAGAACAAAAGACACTTTAAAACTGCACACGTTTTACTCAACTAAGGGAATGAAAGTGGTTCCCTAATTATTTCTTAGTGTGATGGTAAAGTCATAACTGTGACTGTGTATGGGTCGCTTACGGGGGCAACATTTGTGTGAGGAGTTTCTCAGTCTTTTGTTTCTCTATTTCCAGCTCCTCTGTCCTTTCCCTGATCAACTCCTCCAGGTTGGAGGAATACTGCTCCAACATTCGCAACATGGAGTCTATGATGTTGGTCTTTTTCCCTTTATTAACATTCTTGAACTGTAGAGAGATAAGAGGGATACAGAGAAAGAGAATATAAGAATACTGAGCTCTAAAGTGATCCCAACAGCTTACCAAAGCATTCTGCTATTAGTCTCCATTGCATTGTAGTTATTCAGGGACCAATGTCAGTAATCTCTGTTTAAATCTTATAACCTTTAATAATTGCTCTGTAAAAATGTTTTTAAAAAATGCTAAAGTAAAAACCTGTTACTGGAAGCTAACTTACCATATAAAAAATGTAAAATGTTGAACATTGCATCATATGTAATTTTACTGTAAAATACTATCAAATGTATTGTTTTTGGAAGTAGAAACCATGTAATTTTTCATTGAAAAACAAAAGGATATTCCCAGAAGTTCCTATGTGACATTATATATGATTAAATTGTATTTAAGTAATGATGTTTCTTCTCATTTTTGTTATGAATAATGTACATTATAGGGTGATTTGTGTAATATTTCATGTTGTTTAGTTAATGTTTATGGCCTTCTTTTAGTGTTGTGTGTTACCCTGATGTTGTATGAGTATTTCATGGACAGACCACTTATGATGAACTGATTCTATTTTACCACCCGTATACCACCTGTGGTGGTTATCAGTAAATTTGTTAAGGTAAAAAAAGAGATGGTAAGTAGGTTAGAGTCTTGACATTATTTCACTTAATGAAATATATGATTAGTTGTAAAATATACAGGCCATACTAGAAGTACTGTCAAAGCATTTATTATACATTGAATTTCTGGCAACCACCACTGCTGGTTTTTAGCTGGATTTATTTTTTACAGAACTATTGATTTCTATGAGAGAATAGGAATAATATCATGTGACTTTACGGTGATGGTTTGGCAGAGTTGCTGATGTTCACCTGGTCAAAGATTTCTTCAAATGGGGGTCTTTTCTCTGGCTGTTCGTTCCAGCAATTCTTCATAAGCTGAATACACTCCATCGGAGCGTGGTCTGCAGACACGATGGGCCGGCATATTGGAGGAGGCTTCCGGACCTTCTGGATGATTTCTATATTATCCAGATATATTAAAGACTTACACATTGCAAAATAACTATAATAACTTGTTTACGCAACAATCTAGCAATATAGTCAAATAATAGTTACAGTACAGATACAGTATTACTATAACTTGTACATTAATTTGAAAGTAAATATTTTCCAGATATTTTAAAAAACATTGCTAATATATTTATGCATGATAACATACAGCAGCTTTTATATTTAAGGAAGGGGGCCCTTGAAAGGGGATCATCATACACTCACCTAAAGGATTATTAGGAACACCATACTAATACTGTGTTTGACCCCCTTTCGCCTTCAGAACTGCCTTAATTCTACGTGGCATTGATTCAACAAGGTGCTGAAAGCATTCTTTAGAAATGTTGGCCCATATTGATAGGATAGCATCTTGCAGTTGATGGAGATTTGTGGGATGCACATCCAGGGCACGAAGCTTCCGTTCCACCACATCCCAAAGATGCTCTATTGGGTTGAGATCTGGTGACTGTGGGGGCCAGTTTAGTACAGTGAACTCATTGTCATGTTCAAGAAACCAATTTGAAATGATTCGAGCTTTGTGACATGGTGCATTATCCTGTTGGAAGTAGCCATCAGAGGATGGGTACATGGTGGCCATAAAGGGATGGACATGGTCAGAAACAATGCTCAGGTAGGCCGTGGCATTTAAACGATGCCCAATTGGCACTAAGGGGCCTAAAGTGTGCCAAGAAAACATCCCCCACACCATTACACCACCACCACCAGCCTGCACAGTGGTAACAAGGCATGATGGATCCATGTTCTCATTCTGTTTACGCCAAATTCTGAGTCTACCATCTGAATGTCTCAACAGAAATCGAGACTCATCAGACCAGGCAACATTTTTCCAGTCTTCAACTGTCCAATTTTGGTGAGCTCTTGCAAATTGTAGCCTCTTTTTCCTATTTGTAGTGGAGATGAGTGGTACCCGGTGGGGTCTTCTGCTGTTGTAGCTCATCCACCTCAAGGTTGTGCGTGTTCTGGCTTCACAAATGCTTTGCTGCATACCTCGGTTGTAACGAGTGGTTATTTCAGTCAAAGTTGCTCCTCTATCAGCTTGAATCAGTCGGCCCATTCTCCTCTGACCTCTAGCATCAACAAGGCATTTTCGCCCACAGGACTCCCGCATACTGGATGTTTTTCCCTTTTCACACCATTCTTTGTAAACCCTGGAAATGGTTGTGCGTGAAAATCCCAGTAACTGAGCAGATTGTGAAATACTCAGACCGGCCCGTCTGGCACCAACAACCATGCCACGCTCAAAATTGCTTAAATCACCTTTCTTTCCCATTCTGACATTCAGTTTGGAGTTCAGGAGATTGTCTTGACCAGGACCACACCCCTAAATGCATTGAAGCAACTGCCATGTGATTGGTTGATTAGATAATTGCATTAATGACAAATTGAACAGGTGTTCCTAATGATCCTTTAGGTGAGTGTATTTGTGTTGTCTGTCTCATCAAAAAGTTTGAGGAAAAAAAAAAAACTCTGGAATAGATGGTGGGGTCATGTGACTTTACCATCACAAGACTGCTCCAGCATACAGAACGGAGGCCCTCGCATAACCACCTCTTGCATGATGATTGAGAAACTGTACACATCACCATGGTGAGTGCCATACAAACCAGGGTGGGACCCTCTCAGTATCTCAGGGGAGGTCCACAGCAGGTCTATTGGGGTTAAAAAAAATACATTTACATGCTATGTAGAAGAAAAGGAATATGGAAATGCATAGAAATAATAACAAAAGACTCACAATAAACCTTACCTTCAGCTGGCGGTTCAACATAAGGAAACTTTTGAGATTCCAACACCTCATTGTAGCCATAGTCTGTGATTTTGAGCACAAAACGCCCATCAACCACACAGTTCCTGGACTTAAGCCTTCCATGACAAATGTTCCTATGGTGTAGGTATTTCATACCCTGCATGCCAGTCATGATAAACACACACACAAGCATGCATGTTATGTAACTGCGAATTAATTTATGTAACAAAAATGTACACACTAGAGCAGTGTATCTCAACTGGTGGGTCGTGAGCTAAAAGTGCGTCGTGGAGTGTCCAGTCAAAGAAACAACATATTTTTTTCTGAATCAAGACTTTTATTTTGAAAGACGTGCATGAAAGCTGTTGACTCTTCTGTCATACTCAGTTTAAGTAAAGTGTGCCTGAGAAAAACGCATTGTCCTGATTCAGTATCTGCAGTCAGATGAGATGTTGTCAGGCTATATGTCAGTGTCATTATTCTAATGTTATTTTCGTAACTTGTTTCGAAATAAAAAGTCTCTCATCTCAGAAAAACGAACTTTCCTCTCCTGTCAGACGTTATAGACCTTATTCACAGAAGTGGCATGTTTGATTTCTAACGGGAATGAAAGTGAGGCTATGAGGGATAGACATTCTATAGACATAGAGTGTTTCTGGATCTGACAAAACACTGCAAAAATATCTTTCCAAGAAATTTCAGTAGACAAAAAGTGTATATAAAAAATACATATAATTATGTATAGATAATATATATATAAAATATTCATATTATAATTCATTGTCTCTTTTTGTGACATGATTTAGGAATAAATTCAGAAGACATTATAAATGTGTGCTTTCTTTATTTCAATGTTGATATATTTTAAAAGGCAATCTTAATGAAAAAATTCAACTAATCACATACTTAGTAAGAGTACCTTGATGAGGTCCAGAATGAGAGAGGACTTGAACATCCAGTCCAGTTTGACATCGTCGTTGACCAACAGATCTTCCAAGCTGCCACGCGAACAGTACTCTGTTACTATGGCAAAGACTCCGCAGTCGTGGAAGAAGCCTAGAAAGGTGTTTATATTCTCGTGCCTCAAATCTTTCATCTGGAGTATAAAGAACAATTGTATGATTATTTGTAATAATCAATAACAGAGAACACAGAATGTGGTTCTACCAACAGAAGGAGTACTACACCTAAAGCTTGACTAAGTAAAATCAGTGGCAAAACCAACCAGTTCAAAAACATCGCTGGTATTAGGAGTGATGCTCCGGAAGTTTCCATACGGAAGCCGTTTCAGCCACGCCCAATCACCCTGCCAAATTAGAAACATTGTAAAAATGTTCAAAGTAGTATACATTAAAGAAGACTTACAAGTTTTCCACACATTTTTCTATGAAGTCTACTTAAACATGAAGTCATAATCTAGTTTTACGTGACCATTTTTCACCATTCATCCGGCCCTTAGAAAAAAATGCTGTTTTGATTTTTAAGATTTCTATATGTAAATTACCTCTTTTGTGATTGACTAATCTCCATGTATAATACTGTTCAAAACTTTGGGGTCGGTACGTTTTTTTTTCTTCTATTTTTATATATTCTAAAATGTAATTTTTTCCTATGATGGCAAAGCTGAATTTTCTCCAGTCTTCTGTGTCACATGATCCTTCAGAAATTATTCTAATATGCTGGTGCACAAGAAGCATTTCTTTATTATTATCATCTTTTGTAACAAAGTAAATGCCTTTACTGTCACTTTTAAACAATTTAATGCACCCTTGCTGAAAAAAAGTATTATTTTCTTTTTTTAAATCATTTTACTGACCCAAAACTTTTAAACGGTAGTGTAGTTCACACGGTTGTTCAACAAGGTTGTTCAAGCAGCTGAGCTGAATACTGAAATCACATTGATATGTAAATGTGGGTGGTCACGGTTAATGGTTACAACATGACACTTTCTAATGATGTCGACTCGTATTTGCAGCTTTGTTTTCATAAATGGTCTATGTGGACTGGGGAGGGATATTTCGGTTGAGAATGTAAAATCAACACTCTATCTTGAACTCATTTTAAAGTAAGAAGGAAAATCAGCCATTTTGGAGAACTTATTGAGTTGTTCTTTTACCTCATAAATGACGATATTTGAATTGTCATGGGTGGCTGGCGATTGGCTAGAGAACGGAGACTTGAGGCTTCGCTCTGAAGTGCTCATTCTCGTGTCACTGGCCTTGCTGTCATCCAAGCTCAGCTTCTGTTTTTTGGGAGGGTTAAAGTATTAATTATCAGAGCATGTGAATGTTTGTTTGTTTGTGTGCACATGTGTGTGTTACTGACCTTATTGCTCAGGGAGGGGTTGATGAAAGTGACGTCATTTAAAGTCAGTAAAATTTTGTTCGGTCCCCGCATCAGTCGGATCTTATTAATTTTACGCCTATAGAGAAAGTTTAGAAATATTCTAAACAGTCTACACACTCTGAAAACAAACTTTATGATAAATGTAGGTTATAATTCGTTGATGAATAGGCCTACCTGATGCAGTAAGAACAGCCAATCGAGAAGAAGAAGAACAGAAAACCAGATAGGAAGATTAAAACTATATTGAAAAGATTCACACCTGTAACACAAAGGGTGATTGTTACATAATGACATAAAATGCATGCATTTCGATGTTTTAGTGAACACGGTACTATGTACACACTCACCTCCACGGCAGATGATCCCACGTGTAAACCAGCAGCTGGAATCAGTTTTCGGTGGCCCCGCATTAGGAAAATGAATCGGCCGACCCAGAAAGCGCACCATATCTGTCTGCATCTCTATACGATATGTAGGCTTCAACTCCCAAGAAAAGCCATCTGTGTCCAGCACCACATAGTCCAGCATGCCAAAGTCAGAAGAGTTTGCTTGTAGGCTGACACCTTTGAATAGCAGGTTTCGGGCATTTTGGGCGATGTTCCCCCCAGACATCCATTGACCGGAAGCCCTGACACTTTGCACAGCATGAGCCATGAACACGATGGAGGAGTAGATGGTGCCAAACAATGGGGACACCTGTAGAATGTGAAGGTTTTGCATTAGCTATTAGCATAGTTTTGAAACCATTTAACGCCCCATTGTAAAGCATCTTTGTACCTGCTGTGGTTTAAGGTGCCTGGGCAGCTCTCCTTGCTCCTGGGCTTTTTCAAAAGCTTGGTAGAAAGACTGTTCCTTTGGAGACTCAATAGTGATGGTGAGCACGGCATCGTAGGCTCGTAGCAGCTTGCTGTTGTAGCGCAGGGCTGGATGGGTAATGTGATGGTAGGGCAGACTGTAAAAGAGAGTATCGTAAGATATAAACACCAACGAGCCGTCAGTCATCCGCATGTCATGAGCTGTCTCCAATAGCATCTTCTGGGCTCCTCCACCAATCAACACCGAGTGCATAACGAGGATGACCACTGCAAACAAAAGCATTGAGAAGAAGAGAGGACAGGTAGAAAGCACAGTGGCAAATCAGCAAATCACACAGTAATATCAGCAATCATTTGTAATATCTTATTGTATTTTATTTTATATCATTATATTAAATACAGTGGGATCCAACTGTCTGAGATGACACTGAATATATGTTTTTTCCCCAAAGAATTTTATGATAAACCTGTTTTTAGGGTAATGCTAACCAAGACAGAAGCTACATTTATTTTCATGTGAACTTCTCAGTTAAACTGGTGACAAAAAAAAAAGATATATTTTTATAATTATAATCTATAATTGATTAAATCAAATTCAAATATAATTTGTAGTTAGAAAAATTATATTAAATTAATTAATAAATAAATAAATAAATAGAAGCATATCACTAGTGGTCTTAGACATTTGGACCTCACCACCACAACCATTCAAAAGTTTGGGGTCAGTAAGATTCTTTTTTTTTTTTTTTTTTTTTAAGAAATGTATACTTTTATTCAGCAAAGACGCATTAAATTGATCAAAAGTGACATTATATAGATTTATAATGTTACAGATTTCTATTTCAAATGTATAAAATGTTGTTCTTTTGAACTTTCTATTCATCAAAGAATCCTGAAAAAAAGTCAATGTGTCTTGAACAGCAAATCATCATATTGGAATGATTTCTGAAGGATAATGTGGTACTGAAGACTGGAGAAATGATGCTGAAAATTCAGCTTTACCATTACTAAAATATATTACATTTTAAAATATGTAAAAATAGAAAACTTTTTTTATTACAATGTTTCACAGTATTAATGTTTTTACTGTATTTCTGATCAAATAAATGCCGCCTTGGTGAGCATAAGAGAATTCTTCCAAACACATAAAAAAAATCTTACCGACTTAATACTGAGAAAGTATCAGTATCAAAGCAAAGTTTTGAAGTAAACTCATTTGGAGTGTAAATTATGGAATAACATGGAACTAGTGTGTCCAAAACAATAGTAAATGTTACAGTTTAACATGAGAGCAGATACAGTATCAGTACATAATATCATCTGACATTAGCAGTGTTTTAAACTCACAACGAAGCTCCGCCACTTTCTTGACCTTGACCAGGGTATTACGCATGCTGGTGTGGTCATTACGAACAGATGCCACAATGCCAACAGGCATTCCATGACCACGCAGGGCATTGGCCAGCCTTAAACCCGCCTCCACCCAGACATCCTCGGCTGATGAAATGATGCCAACATGTGCCCAACTAAAGTGGCGCATTAAGCTCAGCAGCACAAGGGAGGGGAGGGGCATGGTTCGGGCGAACGTAGGGTGACTGCGGGCATCATCCAGCTCATTTCCAATACAAGACCAGGAAAACACTGCCTTATTCCAACTCTTACCTAAGAGAGAGGCAGCTTCACAGTAGCCTGGGTTAACTGGACCTATAAACCCAGATGCACGTTTATAGTAACCAAGAAAACGGGCAAAAGACTGAGATGTCTCACAGTCCTCCTCCAGGATGACATAATCGAACGTGATGCCCTGTGAGAGGAAGGGGTCCTTGTTGATGTGCTCCACAGCTAACCGCGCAGCCACGCCGGGCTGGGCTTTGGTGAAGAGGGGGTCACATGACCAAGGCCCCACCACCCCAACCCTTACAGTGGCAGCAGAGGTGGCAGGGAAGAGGCACAGAAGGCTTACAGTGGACCACAGTAGCCAGAAACATAAATAGGTATGTTTATGATTATTAGAGAAATGGAAGCTTTGGTCAGGGGTCTGGAGTCCTCTGGTGGCCAATGCTGGAAGCAAGCTGTGAAAGGCACTGGATGACCGTTGCATTGCAAAGTAACGGGTCAGCCACGCAGCTGGTAGGTTGGCACACAGTGGAGCTCCTTCACTGTCACATGAGAAATGCCCTTAATGTCAATCATTCCATCAGCAACAGCAAACTAAGAAAAATAAACCATAGGTAAACTGATAGAATTGATAAATCTGTTTGCAAATAAAAATGATATGCAGTAATTAGCATTGTATGTGGTAAAAATGCTTTCAGAACAGCAAAAATACATTAATGAAGAAAGTGCATAAGATTAAATCTATACATTTGTGCTGGTTATTAGTGGTGTAGGATTTGAAGGGAGAGGATTGCTGAAATCCTGTTAAGAGTAGCCTACAGTATAATTCAGTAATTCTTAGGCTGGTCACCTCAGCATTATCCAAATAAAACATTACTATTATCATGTTCAACCAAAAATACAACCATTAGCTACTGTATGTAGCCTACATTATAGACCTACTGGGTATCTTAATCAAAACAGAGTCCATATGAAACTTACGGGACTTTAAATGTGATTATCCAAGTATGTCTGTGCTGCTACTTGAGTTTACTGTGACCATCACAGCTGAAATACAGAAATGAACAAGTAAACCAATTTAATTGTGAAAAAGTAAAAAAAGCTGAGTAGTACAAACAACAACCAATGACATTCGTTATCTAGATTTGCAACTCTTTTTAAACGTATATGTATCTAATGTACGATTCATTTTAGTGTTATTGTTGTCAGTGTTAAAAACCGCAGTCTAGCATTACTAATTACTTAACTAATTAACTAACCACTGTATTTGACTTACCTACTCTAACTGGCAAAGTGTCTGATTGCTCATTTCCAAACTCGTTGCAAGTCCTCTCGATGGAAACACTAAACCATGTGCAAAAATCAGTGTGATCAATTATTTCTTGTTATTTGCAAATCTGCCAAGAAATAAATCCAAATGTGGTCAGAAGTAGGCTACGATCATCACGGCCTATCCAGAACTGAGTTACAGTTATAATCTTCTCTTCTGCTGTGCACCATGCCTCATGCTGACCTCAGTAAACGACCTGAAGATTATATAAATCCAATTTTCAGCCTGTGTGATGGACACATTGTAGTGTTGTGCATGCTCTTCCAAATATAGCAGTTGCTGGTAATTGTTGTTAAAAATACACATTATTATTACACAAAGTGTCGATATAATGAATAGGATAGATTTAGAAAAATGCAATAGAACTTCATCCTTGTGTAATTGTGGGACTCCAAAGTTCTACAAGCAGGTGTTCTATGGACTTGTCCTACCTTGTCAGATTTGGCAACCTCCCATTAAAACAGTAACAAAAATGCTACTTATCAGGCTGAGCTTCCAGCGTCATATTTATGTGGTTTGAGGCTTTAAACATCCATACCTCCCTAAACCTACTCTTAAAACAATGCAAATATTTGTAAAAAATAAAAATAAAAGATAAAAATAAAATATTGATGTGCGCCCTGTTTACCAGTAAGCCCTGGTAGTAGCCTAGGACAATTTGACGGGTAGGAATCATTTATTTATGGTCTATGGTAGGAATAGGATGAAATGTCAGGACACCGTCAAAGGAGAAAGAAAAGCCGCGTATGAAATCGCTTAGGCTACTGTCTTTAGTATGTAGCCTACTTATTTTGAATAGCCTAAGTAATTTTTTCATGACCGCTAAACCAATAAGTATGTTTTCCCAACAGTTGTATCTTCCTGACGGATATTATTTTGACCTAGAGCTCTGAGATTAGCTTGTGCTGTATATTCTGTTATCGACATTTAATTTTGGTAAAGTTTGCCAAGTTTTATAGGAACAAAAGTGACATACTGTAATTGCGGTTCACTTTCATTATCTGCTCCATATGTCCCCTTCACCCTCTCTGCAATCCTAAACAAATACTTTCCCTTTCCAGACAATTGCTTTCTGATGCAGTGAGTGACCGAGATGAAATCCTGGACCAATCAGAATGTTTTAGTAAAGCCTTGTCTTAGAAACTTCCCTTGTGCCATTTTTCTATGTTTTATGTGCTCACAATCAAAGCAGATTTTGTTCTCATCCATAATTCTCATAATTCACTCACCATGACATGACTAGCATCACTGCGGTCATCCAGAGGACATTTCAATAGGGGAAAGGCAACGACAAATGTGTCACACTCATGTCAGAGGTTGTGCTGTGGGATATGGAAAGACTGTTGTGCCAGATCTGCTGCCTCACAACATTCTCTCGCTGCCACCCAAACCTTCAGATGAGCTTCCATGTGAGCCAAGCATGACCTCTGGTGACAGACTAGAGAAGTTGCAGGTCTTGATGTGGCATTTAGATTTACAGTAATTAGTTAAAATTCAAGATATTTTGATTTGGACTATTTATTTATTTATTTTAGATCTACATGCCTTCTAGAATAGCTAATAAAACCAATATAACAGTTTTACCACTGATTAATAAGGGATGGAAACTCTCTAAATCATTCCAGACTTCCAGATTCTAGAATAGTTATGATGAGGCTTATAATAGTTGGATGCCATATAGTTATATGGCGCCACCCCTTGCCGACTCCTGGCCACCCCAATGGCCAGAATAAATTTTAGTAGCATCAGTTATGCATTTCATAAATAAGTCAAACATATTCTTTAGTAAAAGAAGAAGGGGCATTATGTGTCGTGACGTGCTTTTTAAGTGTCAAATGGTTACAGTAGGCTATACTGTTACAGCAGCTTTTTGATGTGTCTTTGCCACGTTTTGACAAGCAGGGATGCAAACAGCGCGCGAAAATTTTCGGCGCCTCTCGCTTTTTTTACGTCAGTTTGGGTGACAAAGTCATCTGAAGTTATTCCATAGCTTAATGTGAGGGACAGAAGTCTATTTACATCATTAAAGTATACGGAAACTCGTTTTCCCTCCTCTGCGGCTGTCAATCATTCTCCATTCATATTCAAACAGCGCGCGCGCCTCTTGGATGCACGGTAAAACTCTCTCCAATATGATATAATGCATGATCTGTAGATAAAAGGCTGTAGATTTGCATAAAATTACTTTATTTTGTTGGAGTTTGTTGTTGTTTTTAAACGACTCACTACCGTGTGCTTGCTAGATCATCACACACACATCACAAGGACTATGAATCGGCATCAAACGCACAATAACTGGAATATAAAACTGAAACAAAGGAACAAATCGCACTAGGATTTGTGCGCTCGACATTTCTTCGCTTTGTGACGTGAACTTTTAAATGCGCACTTATGCAGCGCAGCGCTGCACACAGAGTCACCATGTTGCTTTGAGCACATCATTCTGCACCCGCGATGCGCATACACGCTGTGTGCGCTCTGTTTTTCATGTTATGGGTTTGCGCACTGAAATATTTTTAAAAGCCAATATATTTTGTTATACCTACCCTGCTCAATACATTTAAAATAAGCATAATTTAATTGTATATTATTTCTTTGTAGTGTAGGCTATATATGCACTTCTGAATTCTTGACATTAATATATAAATATAAAATTGTGAAATGTATGATTGCCTGATTGAATTTTATAAGAGAACTAATAGTAATTTGTTTTTATTAACATATTTAGATTTTATAAAATTACTGTGCAGATGTTTTCAAGAATTATTTTTTGCTGCTGATTTATACACGCATTAAGTTTATTAAAAATTCATAGTACATTTATGTAATATTTAAAGGTGTTAACTGTAATCTTACACTGCTAAATAATAACTTAAAAAGGATTAAAATCATCACAATTATGTAAGTATCTGGAAATTTGCAGCGGGGCGAGGGCTCTTATATATATCACATATAATATATATCATTATATATAATATAATATATATTAGTAGGGCCCTACTAACATCATTAGTAAGCTAACATTAAATATAACACAATAAACCAAAGTATATCAGTAGGAGTTTCCTTAAGTCTTTCTGATAGTTTTCTACAGGCCGGTTTACTACAACAGTAGAATACAATTCTGAAATTATGGTTTATAGTTTTGGTGTGCCACCCCTAGATTTTAAGTGGCCCCATCTGGCCACCCCTATGAAAAATTTCTGGAGGCGCCACTGCATATAGTATAGAAGTAAAACAGACAGAGTTCAATGATTTGCTGAATGAGTGATCCCAGTGATCCAGCTCTCTCTCTCTATCTCTCTCTCTCTCTGTGTGTGTGTGTAGAAACTACATCACACATGAAGAAACTAGATCACAATTACAATGGAGTTTTTATTAAAGGGATAGTTCACCCAAACATGAAAATTCTGTCATCATTTACTCACCCTCAAGTTGTTTCAAACCTATGAGTTGATGGGTCAACCGAACAGTTGATGGGTCTCCAGTGACTTCCATAGTAACACCCCCCCCCCCCCCCCCCCATAAAAAAAAAAACTTACAGCACGTTTGAAGTGTCAAGTCAGAAAAATATTGCGATTTCAGATGACAAATATACATCAGGGCTAGAAGGACACTTCACCGTATAGGAGTGTCTGATAAAACACCATTTGTGTTCTATACGAAGAAAAAAAAGTCTAGTTTTGAGGGACTAGATGAAATTATTGTAAGATTAAAGCAATGATCTGCGAACGGTGTGACTCAATTTGACTGACCAAATTTAGACATGAGTTGAATGATCAATATGGTACTGTCTGCATACATAAGATAGCTGCTAAATACAGACAAAAAATGAGTACAAAACTGAATCGGAACCTCTCTGACCTCTACGAACTCTGCTTTAAATTTCACAGAACTGCTAGGCTGATATTTGGAGAAAATTATGCAATGTAACATGCAATGAAGCATAACCCTCATAAACTGAACAAAATCTGGACCCTTGAGCAATAGGAAAACGTAATGTGGTCTAAATCCAGATGGTTCATGTTTGAAAAATGACACCTTGTCTGTATAGACAGTTGTTAAACATGGTGGGTGATCTGTAATGGTATGGACAGCCTTATTGGGGAGCCATTAGGGCTGATGATGACCGCTCTGCATGATGGTATGTACAGGAATATATACAAGGCCATTTTATTTGACCAGGTGCGTCCTGTGGTAAAATAGCTTCTGCTGACTCTCCATCATCACTGAACTGAAACATGACTGAATCTTGAGTTTGAATTTTCACCTCTGTTGTGAGCTGGACATTTTTTAGACCACCAAGAAAAAGTCAGGACTTAAACGTAACAGGACAGAAACTGTTACATGGTGAACAGGAAGTTTAGAGAGATTTTTCAGCGACTAAATCAAACATTAATAGGGTGAATCTTTCAAAGTAGTTAGCACATGCACACAGATTATAAATCACAATGCCACTTGTCTTCCTTCCAAAGCTGAATATTAATACATCTAATTTTTTTTTTTATGTTTCAGAACATTCAAGGGTAACATTCATATAATGTTTGCAAAATGATCAAATGGAATTTTCCCTTAATCTTCACATTAAAAAAAAAAACAGGTTTTGAACATTTAGAGAACTTTCAGAAATAACGTTTTCATAACTTAATGGGAACGTTAGCAAAAGGCAATGTCCCAGCCTTTTACTGTATACATCTTTCCTTATTGACTTATCTTCCTCATTAATATCTCTCCTTTCTGTCCCTCTAACTTCCTGACTTGCTGCCTTCCCTTCCTTTCTCTTTCTGCCTTCCACCCCCCGGTTCTCTTTTGGGAATTGTCTTGGTCATGCTTCCTGTGACTGTGATAACGTAATGAGCTCAGATGGAGAAAAAGTCTCTCTAACCATTTCACATCACAGCTGTTTCTCCTCTATCATACTCTGCTGAGAATTCAAACTTCTTTGACCAGCTTTCCCAAATGAACCGTTATTTGGACAAACATCAACTTACTCCACAGTCTTCATGAGTCCGAGGGCAAAATAAGTACTCCTTTCTCAGTTTAGCAGACCAGCAAACAGGAAGCCATTTATAATTGTAATGTCAGAGAGATGGTTTATTAAATCTGTCTTATGCAAACTAGAGTAGAGGCGCCACTGATTCAGGCTTATGGTCTAATCCATCAGCAGATGCCTCAGATTTTTATATTTGTACTTAAATGTTAAGGTCAGGCCAGATTACAGGCATTAAAATAGAGTGACTCACACTTACACATTCACAAAACCTTTACTCACACTAAAGTTTTTTTTCTCCACTCATGCATGAATGTACAGTGCACTGGTAAGTTTATTACATGGCTACTTACCAAATAAATATGTGCAAAATATTGATTTTAGTTTAAATATTTTATATTTCTACCTGTATATTATCTAAGAAGTTAGACAATAAACACACACACACACACACACACTGCACACATGCCCGAAACACTGGGCTCCGAAGAGACAACACATAATATGCGCTTTCGCATTGCATTCCACTGACTTATTGATTGAAGAATAACACATAAAATATGCTCTGTTTCATTTAGATTGCATACAAGAACTAACTTCCATTGTGCATTAAATATATAACACAGGTGCTGTAAATGCATTGAATACAAGACCTGACTTTTTCAGTTGTGCGTTGAGCAGATATCACATAATACATGTGCTGTTGCATTTGCATACAAGATCGTACTTATTTATTTGTGCATTGAAAAGATAACACATAACTTTATGTGCTTTTGCATTGCATTGCATAAGACCTGACTTATTGACTTGTGCACACAAGATGATTGTTTCATTGCATTGCATACAAGAACTAACTTACAGTGCATTCTCACTTAGTACGAACTCTTCACTCATTGCAATGCACACAACAGAACTAACTCCGTTGTGTATTTGAAAAATTAACACATGAAATATGCTGTTTAACATTGCATTGCATACAAGAACTAACTTGTATGCGCAATGGTTATGTCTGTATATAGCACGTGTTTGCATTGAAAAACAAGAAGCGCAGTGGAATGGAAAAACACTTTCTGTGTGAATGGCCCCTGAATGTCACTAAAATATATACAGTATATGAGACCAAAAGTTATTTTAAAACCTTTCTTGATCAGAAATACTTTTGAAACTACTATAATTGTGGAACATTTAGTCCTCAGGGATATACCACAGCTGAATTACATTTGCACATTTATAAGTGACAAGGGAGTCAAAAAAACCTAATGCTTATTTAAAATCTGGTAATGGTTTAGTAGGAGACTTCTGGCGATCGACCAAAAAGTTTTGAGTTCTCTAGATTGTAAAGATATGAAACAATTTCAGTTGAAATGGAATGGTAATGTTGACACAAATAAAGAAAGAGGAAGATAGAGAGAGCAAAGGCTTGTTGAGAAAAAAATTAAATCACCAAATCATATACAGTATATTTTACTAGTCTTTTACTTTGTCTAAGTATAATGAAATGGACATACTCTCACTTTCTGAGAGCATGGAAGGCTGGTCACATTCTGAATCTGCTTTTCATTAGGCAATTGGGTGAAGAGAAGAAAATATCAGAGGTGAAAGGTTAGAGGTCAATGACTCAGTAGATGCAATAGTTCAGTGTAGGAATCTCCAGACCTGCATCAGAGGAATGGTACTTCATCTGTGCTGAAAGATAAACAAACGTATATTCGAGTGGGCGAATGGGACATCTGGAAGAAGCAAGCCAAAGAGCCCCTCTATGAACCTCCACAGTAAGCCTACAATCAAAAATCCTTGACACAGTGTAAGTAGGTCAAAGGTCATGGGAACCACCAGTCAACAACCTCTTCCTCCCACGATTATAGACAACATAGCTGGAATATGTTATCTAAATGTCTGGAAAACTTGGGATAATACTAGAATAGCATTTTGCAAAACTGCCCGCAGTCACATGAGAATCTTAGGAATCGACTGCGATCATTTTACGTGTCCAATAAACGGCCCTTCGGTATGTTTGTTTTATTTTGCTACTTTCAGTATAATAAATGGCCTTGGTCAAAAAGAATCAGTTTATCCTTGCTTCACATTAAAAGAGATTAAGGAAATAGATTTATAATACAAGAAAATCATTATTAAAGAATTTAATTTGAGAAAGTCAGTATAATCCTGGAAAACCAGGAAACATTTGCATGATAGCAGCTAAAACAAATAAACAAAAACAGACTTTATGACCATTAGATTTAAAGTTCAGTGCCGGGAGTCCCATGTTAAAGTTCACCCAGAGAACAGTGATATCACCACTCATCTACTTGCAAAAACAACTGACAAGTTTCATTGTTTTTCCTTGTGTTTCACAATCACTTAAGCAACAGCATGTTGTCAACAACACTTTCTAAATTCTCCACGGTCACATTTGTCAATCATTTCATCATCATAGGGCCGTAGCTGACTTGACCTTGGATGACAGCACTTGTCGGAACCTTCTCTTCAACTCTTGCATGTTCGGGCTTTTTGGCCTGGCAAGGTGTAATCCACCTTTTCTCTTCTCCCCATTTCCTCCTCCCAGAGCTCGGCTCATCTCCTGACATAAGTGCAGAAAAGCAGCCTGGACGCTCTCATGGTTCTCCCTGGCCGAAGCCTCAAAGTAGGGCCCTCCCAATTCATCAGCCAGCGCCTTACCCTCATGATCCGGGACCTGCCGGGCGCGCAGCAGGTCGCTCTTGTTTCCCACGATGATGACGGGGATGTTGCCGCTGGGATGGATTCGGCGCACGTGTTGGTAGAGAGGCTGGATGGTACGGTAGCTGTTGAGGTCAGTGATGGAGAAGACCAGCACATAACCATCTGCCCAGTAAATTGAGCGGTTGATCTGCTCCTGACAGTAAAGACCCTCTGCATCATCCTGGAATTGAGAAAACTGTTGTTTTTATTCCAATTATATATATATATATATATATGTATATAGTACAGTGTATACTGTATATATGTTTTTAAAAGAAATCACTTATGCTCTCCAAGGCTGCATGTCTTTGATCAACAAACAGTAAAAACAGTAATATTGTGAAATATTAAAACAACTGTTTTCTATTTTACTGTTTTAAAATGTAATTTATTCCTGTGATGGCAAAGCTGAATTTTTAGCAGTCTTCAGTGTCACATGATCCTTCATAAATCATTCTAATATGCTGATTTGAGGCTCAAGAAACATTCCTTATTATTATCAATATTGAAGACAGTTTTGCTGCTTAAAATGTTAAAATATAGCCCTATTCAAAACAGAAAACATTTCACAATATTACAGTGTTAATGTATTGTTGATCAAATAAATGCAGCCTTGGAGAGCTTAATAGACTTCTTTCAAAAACATAAAGTTGTACTACATTTATATACAGTAGCATATTGGAAATGAACTGATCGTTTTAATGTAAAGAAAAACGAGAATCAGTGTTCAAAATATTATGCATTTATTTATTCAATTGAGCAATTAAAATAACTATAATATAGTTATATTTTAATGATTTTTGCAATTATAATGTTTAGTATGTTTAGTATGTTTCACCAATAATGGAACTGACTACCAATGAGTTAGTTGTAATATGACAACTATAAGAAGTAAATTCTCAATCATCATAACACCTACAGTATAAATACACTGTGCTTGAGCAGGATCAGATTCATTCAGTTGAAGAGAGCCCTTTAGTACACATGAGTCAGACTAATGAGCTTATGGCTGAACACACCCTTTTTATCTCCTCTGCACTGGATACTTTGTTTACAGGCCAAATGTTTGAACTAATATTCCCCACAGTTCATCTGAAGCATGCAGGAATCCCATAGGCAATGACTGAGTGATCTAAATGACTGTGATAATACAGCATGGGCACACCACTTTTGACGGAGGTTTAACTTAAAGATGGAAAAAAGCATTGGTATGGTGTGATTTGAACCTGCAATGAGACACATGGAGTGTCCTGCACTTGTAAAGAAACTTGCTCCCCATCCAAGTTAATCTTCCTTGAATATAAGGCTCCTAGAAATGTTGAACAAGAAAACAAAAATCACCAAGTAAAATGATAAACTTATGTGTATTTGCTTAAATATTTGCTTAAAGATTTAAGGCTAGTTAATGGCACTTTCAGCCATTTTAATTAAGTTTAATTAGGCTACTGATGAAGAAAACCATGCTGAAAGTCTGAAAACTTATAAAATCGAGTACACATTACAGAAATAATTGTGACGAGTGAAATATGACGACATTTTTGTAGTTCAGTGTAGGATTTTTAGCTTTATTTCATTATAATTTACCTGTGTTGGCTTCATAGTCTCCAATGAATCTCTTAGTAAGAAATCTTACAATCAGAGCTGAAAATAGAAACCAAATGGAAACGTTTGCATCAGCATTACAAGCAAGCATAACAATGTCACATAGCTCGTGCACAAGTCAGTGTATGTCGCACCCTGGCGTTATAATGGCTAAAATATTTTCATCATCATTTTTCAGGATTAGAAATACGCATACCATTCAGACTTTATTAATGACTTTAAACAGAATCAATGCATACACATTAATTTAACGAGTCATATTAGAATGAGTTCCTATGAAATAAAAATATGATATGCATGATGGAATAAAGAACAAAAACTGTTAAATAAGCTATATCTTAAAAGCCACATAATTTGATACATTTACCTGTTTTTCCGACATTGTTTGCCCCAAGAACAACTATTTTGACGTTTTTGTTAGGCACGCAGTCTATTACAGGGTACTCCGGTATAGGAACTAGCAAAAAGTTGCTAGAGCCACTGCTCATTGTTCTTGGCTGCTCGATAAGAAGACGCATTTAGAAAGCGCAGTTTAGAAATGCGCCCTTTTTCTTCCGCTTTCTCGCGCTACACGAGCCCGTTCAACACGTTAGCTGTCCTCTTCATAACGCAATAAGTCCTCCGTTACCTCGGCAGACAGTCTTGATCGACCGCTTTAAATAAATGCAGACTTCCAGTGCACCCCAAACGCTGGCTCCGCTTCTGCACGACATGAATGTTAATTCTGCATAACGGCCCTCTAACGAAGTAACCAATAAAGTCTAAAGTAGGCTAAATCTGTACAGTTCATATCCCGAAGTTCCTGATCACCAGATCTATTACACAGACCTCAACTGCGCCTTCAGCCAAAAAAAAAAAAGAAAGAAAGAAAGAAAGAGAAAGAAAAGAAAAGAAAAGAAGAAAGACGAAGAGGGGCGTGAACAATAAACCAGTGTGACTAACGCAAACTAATTTTTAAGATCAATGGGATAGAATAAAATGTGTGAATTAAATGTAGCCAATTATAAAAGTAAAGTAAAAAGTTTTGATGTAGATTGGATTGGAAGCTTTCCCACAAAATAAAACAATTAAAAAGGTAATTGCGACTTTTTATCTCGCAATTCTGATTTTTATTCTCTCTCTCAAAATTGCGTGATATACAGGTCCTTCTAAAAAAATTAGCATATTGTGATAAAGTTAATTATTTTCCATAATGTAATGATAAAAATTAAACTTTCATATATTTTAGATTCATTGCACACCAACTGAAATATTTCAGGTCTTTTATTGTTTTAATACTGATGATTTTGGCATACAGCTCATGAAAACCCAAAATTCCTGTCTCAAAAAATTATCATATTTCATCCGAACAATAAAAGAAGTGTTTTTAATACAAAAAAAAAAGGTCAACCTTCAAATAATTATGTTCAGTTATAGTCAATAGTCAATACTTGGTCGGGAATCCTTTTGCAGAAATGACTGCTTCAATGCGGCGTGGCATGGAGGCTATCAGCCTGTGGCACTGCTGAGGTGTTATGGAGGCCCAGGATGCTTCGATAGCGGCCTTAAGCTCATCCAGAGTGTTGCGTCTTGCGTCTCTCAACTTTCTCTTCATAATATCCCACAGATTATCTATGGGGTTCAGGTCAGGAGAGTTGGCAGGCCAATTGAGCACGGTAATACCATGGTCAGTAAACCATTTACCAGTGGTTTTGGCACTGTGAGCAGGTGCCAGGTCGTGCTGAAAAATGAAATCTTCATCTCCATAAAGCTTTTCAGCAGATGGAAGCATAAAGTGCTCCAAAATCTCCTGATAGCTAGCTGCATTGACCCTGCCCTTGATAAAACACAGTGCACCAACACCAGCAGCTGACATGGCACCCCAGACCATCACTGACTGTGGGTACTTGACACTGGACTTCAGGCATTTTGGCATTTCATTCTCCCCAGTTTTCCTCCAGACTCTGGCACCTTGATTTCCGAATGACATGCAAAACTGAGCAACAGTCCAGTGCTGCTTCTCTGTAGCCCAGGTCAGGCGCTTCTGCCGCTGTTTCTGGTTCAAAAGTGTCTTGACCTGGGGAATGTGGCACCTGTATCCCATTTCCTGCACACGCCTGTGCACGGTGGCTCTGGATGTTTCTACTCCAGACTCAGTCCACTGCTTCCGCAGGTCCCCCAAGGTCTGGAATCGGTCCTTCTCCACAATCTTCCTCAGGGTCCGGTCACCTCTTCTCGTTGTGCAGTGTTTTTTGCCACACTTTTTCCTTCCCACAGACTTCCCACTGAGGTGCCTTGATACAGCACTCTGGGAACAGCCTATTTGTTCAGAAATTTCTTTCTGTCTTGCCCTCTTGCTTGAGGGTGTCAATGATGGCCTTCTGGACAGCAGTCAGGTCGGCAGTCTTACCCATGATTGCGGTTTTGAGTAATGAAACAGGCTGGGAGTTTTTAAAAGCCGCAGGAATCTTTTGCAGGTGTTTAGAGTTAATTAGTTGATTCAGATGATTAGGTTAATAGCTCGTTTAGAGACCCTTTTCATGATATGCAAATTTTTTGAGGTAGGAATTTGGGGTTTTCATGAGCTGTATGCCAAAATCATCAGTATTAAAACAATAAAAGACCTGAAATATTTTAGTTGGTGTGCAATGAATCTAAACTATATGAAAGTTTAATTTTTATCATACATTATGGAAAATAATGAACTTTATCACAATATGCTAATTTTTTGAGAAGGACCTGTATAGCCTAAACTCACAATTGCGTGTTATAAATTCAGAATGTAAAGTCAGACTTGTGAGATAAATTCGCAATTCTGAGAAAAAGGGTCAGTCTTTTTTGAATATGAAAAGTCAGAATTGCGAGATAAAAAAAAAGTCGAAATTATCTTTTAAATTGTTTTATTCGGTTGCGGAAACAAGCCTCAATAGATATGCTTGCTTATTATTATTATTATTGTGTTCTATAATTTAAAAGAATTTGCGAATTATTGAATGACCTTTTTTAGCTATTTAAATGCCTTTTTCGAAGCACATATTGGAAAGCTATGCTAACAGAAAATGGTGGAGGCTGAGCACTTTTTTCCATGGTTAACGTTACCTCCTCACACAAATGTGACAGTCGTCTAGCTTATTTAAGCCTTTTTGGTAACTGAAACGTTGTCGTTGTGAAGCCTACGTTAAAGGTCCATGCACACCAACAACATTAAAGGTTTTAATAACCTAATTGCTCTGATTTAATAAGATTTTGGAAATCCACAGCACAGTTATAACGATAACATGCAGAGGAACGATATCATAAACACAAAGAACGATTTTCTGCAGCTGATGAACGATGAAAACATTTGTGAGTCAATCAATCCAATAAACCCTTAAATGCATGAAAGGGACAATGACATCACAATCTAGCTAGCTTACAATACTTTTAGGAAACGCAGCCCAGATTTGTCATAAAAAATGATTCGTGTAGTTTTAATTATTAATAATTCAATTTAATTGATTAAGTAAAATTTATTAGTTGGACTCACAATTAAATGAAGTTGTGACAAAATGTTAAATTGTGTTACTTTAGCTCATTTTAATTAATTAAATTGAACAATACCAAAAAATATTTTTTTTAGTGTATGTTTGTTTTATAATGTCAATTGATGCAACATAATGTGTATAATAACCCCAAATCACAATTTCTCATAGCAGCAAAATTCACCGATCAGCAAGCAGCAGCGAAACACAAACCTACTTCTTCTTTGTTCAACTGTACTGCCCTCTGTGGTGCAGTTGTAGTGTGCATGTGTCGAATGTGTCCAACCTTTTTTTTTTTCATGCATTTGTTTTTGTTGTTGTTGATGCCATTTGGCTAGTGAGAGGAAAGCATTGGGTGGAAAGAGGGGAACGGGAACGGCAAAGGACCCCGAGTTGGATTTGAACCCGGCCCACTTCAGTGCACTAACCACCAGGCCATCACCGCCGACGAATGTGTCCATCCTGAGCTGGTGCAGGTATGACATCACTTTGTAGGCCAACCGGCAGTTAGCATCGCACTGGTTCCCTCAACAAAAACCCAATAGGATTTTCCCATTGGCTTTTGGATTATCTCTAAAAACAAGTTCTGATACAACAAAAGTTAATGATACTTGCACGTTTTGTCCATAAAGATAATTATCACATTAACACAACTTTTATGAATTTTGAAGCCTAAATACAGTCGCTAGAAATAAAAAGCTAAAGGTATTTTAAACGAACTACACCACGGTCGCTCGACTTCAACGTCACAATCACTAAGCTTCTGGAAACTCTTTCAGGTTTTATCTAAAAACATTTTCCCAGAATTTTTGAGTTAGAATTTGTAAGAGCACAATGAGCATAATAAGGCTGTAAAAGCGGACTGAGCTTACCTTTTCGGCGTGATGACGTTTAATCTCCCCGACCACCTCTGTAGTGCCACTTGTTAGCAACCGCCCTTTTCAAGACACTTGACAGCTTAAAAAATCACGAGTGGGGTAAAACAAACTGATGTATTTTATGTCGTAGAATCAAACATGAAAGTGTCTTGAGCTTGTGTTCACCACAAACCTTATTTCAGCATTTAAACAAAACCCTATTCAAAAAACCCATTGACTTTTGGACGATGGAACCGGAAGTGCTAAAATGCTAACTCGCTTCTGCGTTTTGGCCTACAAAGTGATGTCAAACCTGCACCACTATATTGGAAATTGTATATTGGGTCAATGTAAGTAAAAACAGCATTCCCTTGTTTTATGTTACACCTGATTGAATTAGAACAACAAAATTAGAATGTATAGGTAGAATGAGGTTGAAAACCCTCTGGGGTCCTTCGGCCCAAATGGACCTGAAGCATTTAATTTTTTTATTTTATTTTTAATCATAGTTTTATCGGAATGGTCCGAAATTTGGTGACTTTGTTGGTACTTGGTATATGAACACCCAAAAAAATTGGGGACAGGATTTGAATAGTCTAAGTGGTTGTAAAAAAAATAGTCACACTCAGGACCTTCGGGTCCAAATGGACCCGCATAGGAAATGAATGGGAAATTGGCAAAAATGTGAAAATGCAGAGTTTTTTTGTGCGTACAATCTACAAATCAGTCACGATCCAGAAAAAAAGCACACAACAGTGAAGGGGTGAATCTATAAAACATCAAGAGTGCAAAACAGACACATCCACACACACACAAACACACTTTTATACACAAACACACTAATAAATTCAAATTACACATGGGTTTTGAATTTTTAAAATGCTCAGTTAGTCCGCCAGATGGCATCCATCTCATTTCAAAAATTGCTTTCATGAAGCCTAGGCTTGACTCTAAAATGAAATACAGCTTAAAATTTTTTTTATATTATATTATATTCAATGGGGAACAAATGGGTCATAATTATTGCATTAATATTAATTATAAATCATTTTTTATTTTTGAAATTATCTCAAAACACCAAAAAAGAAAAAATATTACAAAAAACAAGTAAAAAAAAAAATTATGATTTTTTTTAAATAAATATGAATCCCACCCTTCCGGCCCATTTGGACCCGAAGGTCCTGAGTGTGACTCAATGAAGGACCCCAGAGGGCTAAAATGGACCTCATACCTCCTACTGTGCACGTTCACTTTTTACAGTGCACTAAAACGAGCATGAAATATTATTATATAGGATACTGTTCCTTTGCATCCTCTTTTTGTCATGGCACAATGGACCAAACAAAGCATTAAACCCACACATTTTATTTAAACAAGAGGTGTATATTGCAAATCACAGTAGAAAACTTACTGCGCACCAGAGTTAATTTTTGCAGTCAATTACTGCAAGTGTGTGTGCGTGTGAGTGTGTGTGTGTGTGTGTGTGCGTGTGTGTGCGGCCCAGGAAATCACTACATCATGGGGACAATGTCCCCACAAAGATGGCAATACCATTGTCCTTGTGGAGACATGTTTTGGTCCCCTTAAGGGGAAAACAGCTTTTAAATCATACTAAGTGATGTTTTTTTGAAAATGTAAAAATGCAGAAAGTTTTCTGTGATGGGTAGATTTAGGGTTAGTGTAAGGGGATATAATATATGCTTTGTACTAAAAATCATTAAGTGGAAAGTCCCCAAACACACTGTGTGTGTGTGTGTGTGTGTGTGTGTGTGTGTGTGTGTGTGTGTGTGTGTGTGTGTGTGTGTGTGTGTGTGTGTGTGTGTGTGTGTGTGTGCGTGCGTGCGTGCGTGCGTGCGTGCGTGCGTGCGTGCGTGCGTGTGTGTGTGTGTGTGTGTGTGTGTGTGTGTGACACCTAGGTCGTCTTTTCTTCTCCCTGTCCAGTCCTGCTGACAAAACATATACATCGGTCAAAAGCATAGACTGTAAAAAAAAAGAAAAGGTCAAAAGCCACATAGGGCGTAAATGACTCTGCGGTAGTTAGAGGATCAGTTGACAAACCAGAGGAGAAGGGCGGATGCATACGAATCTACTATGAACAAGAGTTGGTCATGGTCAAGGTCATGATGAGGTTACATGACTGGAAGGTTACCAAGCAACGTCAGCATTACTTAGCTAAATAGGCTAATATTCATATATGAATATTAATTAACGTATATAATTAAGCCTTCGCCATAGTGTGTGAAATCATCAAAAGAATGCAACGCGTGGCTATTCCTTACTAGTCTGCGTTTCTATTGAATCGGTTCATTATGCTTTTGGTTAAATTTTTTTTTTTTATAAAATTATAGCCTATCCTTATTTAAAATATAACTTATTCTAAAATCAATAGCATGAAATGGAATCAAAAACAAAAATGTTTATATAAACATTTACTTGAAATACTTACTACAACATTTTTTGTTTTACAAACAAAGTAAAATATAATAAATTTTACCCATCAACCCTAAGTAGCCTAATGATGTTAATGTCCCACAATTTTCGTTCACACAAGTCGATATATTAATAGGCCTATATTTCATTTGTTCGCAAGATTTAACAGGCATGGAAAAAATCATGACGCATTAACATGTGTTTTAATATATTTTTGTACTTTTACTTTTCTTTATTTCCACAAATGCAAATATAGGCTAGCCTAAGTAACACATTCACAGTATTATTAGCATAAACGAAATACTATAGGCTTAGATACAGTCTAAAAATATGTTAAGTAATTAAAAAAAGATATTTTTTTAACGCCTAATTGACGTTTTGTTATTTGTTTGCAAACCCTTTTTTCTTCACCATTGTGTGCTTTGTAAATGCTATGCTTTCTTTAACCACGTGAGATTTTTTTTTTAAGTTTTCTGAATACGCACAATTTCCCAGTATTTAGTTTTAAAATAAAGTTAATGTGAACAGAGGTCGTCGCCATAGTATGTTTAGTAATGTTGTGTAGTGCGCAGCTGCTCCACTGCGCGCGGCAGGCGACACTCCCTCATTCCGCAGCCGCTACGAGCTGCTGGACCGACTGAAGGATTCACCGGAACTTCAGCCTGTGCGGCTGTCACACTTTTAAATAGGGGTTCGGTCCAATATGGCGGCATACGGATGGAAATACTGATGACAGTCCGAAAGATCGCCTCGATTTGTACGATGGTGAGTTTTTCCTCGCATAAGTGAGTGTTGTCCCGTCCACTGCGTCTAACCTGTGTTTGGATTAGCCTGCTAACAGGGCTAGCTCAACAGCTAACAGATAAACAACCGTGTCATGACATGGCAACACAGTCACAAAAAGTTTGCGCACCTCTCTTTCTGTGGTTATAGACGCAGTAGAAGTTTGGAGATGTCGTTAAACGGACTTTTAAGCATTCTTTTTGTCCGATAATTTGATATTCTGCTCAAGGGTTATATGTGTAGCCTTAGCGTATTAGCGAGCGACACATAATGTCCATGTTTGATTAGACGGGGGCGACTCAACTTTATTTACCATCAGATAATATCAGTCATGTGGACGCTTTCTATATGTGTACGTTACAAGCGTTTTGTAAAGAGGTAACGTTAAGGTCATTCATGAGACTACAGTTCCTGCTGCTGCTGCTGCTGTTGTTGTTGTGTTGTAACATTATTTGAAGGACACAACTGAAAGCTGATTCAATGAACTCAATGTCTTTGTATTAGTGGTGAAAGGTATCTCTTAAACTGTTACACGAGAAAGTGAGAACTTACAACGAATATTATAATTTAGGATTTGCAGTGCTGTGTACACAATACTGTTATAAATTAAAATGTTATTAATGTGGGAGGCTATCTACTGGGGGTTCTGTTATAAAAACAGATTAGTCCATATAAATCAATAAATCTTTAAATAGCAGATATTTATGTGGCAACTTCCTTATTTTCCAGGAGTTACTGATAATAATCAGTTATTGAGAAAAGACACATGGCTTTGCTGCTTGTTGATTTAGCCGAGCCACCTCTGGGTGCCACTAGCTATGTACGAGTTATGTAAAAACTGCTGTACATAAATTTAGTGTTCACTACATTTGAATGTATTTGGATTAGGATCAAGGTCATCAATTCTTGGGTTGACAGACATATATGTAGTTGCCTTTTAAGTCGTGATGAATCAGATCCTCCCAGAAACGTCAATACTTCAAAGAATGATTTAAAAGTATTTTTTAATTAATAAATGATTAATAATATATCAAAACAATCAAACTAAAATGCTAAAAATGAGACAAAATCAAGATATAAACCTACCAGTTTCTGTTAATAAAAAAATTTCATAACAAAAAGCTTTAACTTCATTACAGCAAAAAAATATCTATATGGAGGGAAGAGGGTCTTCGAATAACTAGTTGAACAAAAAGGTTGAGAACCACTGATCTAGGCCTTATAACATCTGAGAAACTCATTCATTACACCTTAGATACTGACAGCACTTACAGCTCTGCCTTGATGATCTCCCCTGGTGACACAGAGTGGGTTCCACTTGCCCAGAAAGTGCATCCTGTTCATGCCAAGCCTGCATCACACTCCACAAACAGGATGTTCCTGTTAGTCCCGAATAGGTGCAGGGTGTTCCTGGTCACTTTTATTATTGAGACCCCATGAGCGAATTGCCAAGATAACCATTGTGGCTTTTCTCGGTAGGGCGCCAATGCCTCTGCTTTGGAAAAGGAGATTGGACCGGAACAGTTCCCTGTTAATGAACACTACTTTGGACTGGTAAATGTAAGTTTACATGGTTGTCTTTGTCAGTGAGTGTGCTATAAATAGAAGATGACTTTGCCATATTACATTTTACATTGTGAAGCACTTTGGATGTGTTTGTGTAATGTGCTTGTGCCATTCCTTAATGGCAGATTTGGCAAGCGTGTATTAAAGGCAGCAAAATAAAATAATAAAACTGCTCCACATATCCAACTCAAGTCACATTTATTTATGGATTGTTTTAAAGCAGCTTTACAATAAAATAAAAAAACAGGAAAATAATAGGTAATGTTGTAAAATTGATCAGTTGTGAAACAAATTCAATTTAAGTTGTAAAGCAGTTCTACAGAAGATAAGTGTCATTATTCAGCTCAGTGTAGTTCAATGTTATTTCAATTCAGTTCAAGAACTGTCAATGTTCCAATGTTAGTGTCATTATCCAGTTCAGTTCAAAGTTTACATTCATTCTCAGAGACATTAATTGGAGATTTAACAATTATATGTGCATGTATGTCATCACATGTCCTTCATCATTGTTTGATTTGTTCTTTGTCCAATCACATCTGGTCGCTCAGTTTGGCAACACCTGCTACTGTAACTCAGTGCTGCAGGCACTGTACTTCTGCCGGCCCTTCCGGGAGAAAGTGCTGGCCTATAAGATCCAGCCGCGGCGTAAAGAGAACCTGCTCACCTGCCTGGCTGACCTTTTCAACAGCATTGCAACTCAGAAGAAGAAAGTGGGAGTCATTCCACCAAAGAAGTTCATCTCCAGACTGAGGAAGGAAAATGGTGAGAAAAGATCATGCGATCATCATTTGACTGACTGTCAAGAGAGGGCTTGTTGATGAGGGATAGTGGTGAATGTTATTCAGATGCCCGGAGATCTGTGAAAGGATATGGAAAGATGTTGCTATACAGATAATATGCATGGCGCGATATGTTTGTAAACGTTTTGAATGTAGACATAGATTCCAAGATCCAAGACGTTGTCTAGATACACTACCGCGGGGTCAGTAAGATAAAAAAGAAAGAAAGAATGCTAAGATTAAGCAATACACCTGATTAGCTATGCAGGAAACACTGTGTATGTATTGAAATGCACTGCTATTAAATGATTGAATCACTGTTTATATATTAGACTTGCAGCTACTTAATGTTATCAACACTTCCTTCTACTCTCCCTACAGAGCTGTTTGACAACTACATGCAGCAAGATGCACATGAATTCCTCAACTACTTGCTCAACACCATTGCAGACCTGCTACAGGAGGAGAAGAGCCAGGAGAGACAGCAGAATGGAAAGGTAGTACAGAATGGTGGGAGTGGAAGTGGAGGAGGTGGAAGCGGTAGCAGCACAGGAGAGGGTGAAGCGGAGGAAAAGATCCAGCAGACCTGGGTGCACGAGATCTTCCAAGGCACACTGACCAATGAGACACGGTGCCTGAACTGTGAAGCGGTGAGTCAGAGGAGGTGGAGTGAGTCATAAACACCCTAAAGTGAGTTAATGTGACCATGTTATTGGCTCTTTGGCTTTGACTAATCAGGATCTGGGAGATTGTATGGATGTGACGGGAGAACAGTTTTCAACAGTGTGTTTCGGCAAAATAAAAGAAGTCTGTTAAATGTTTCGATTGTGGAATACGTAGAAGAGACATACAAAATGTATAATCTAATGTAAAAATAGTCACTGCAGAATCTTTAGCGTATTATGAATAATCTGATTATTATTAAAGCTACAGTTAAGAGCAGTGAGTGATTCCCTCTTTTCTTTTATTGTTTAATTAACATTAATGATACTGCCAGCAACAGGTTTATTATATTAGGACCCAATGCATGGATCTAATATAATGTTACACATCAGATTTTTTCCCCCAACGTTCACAACATTGATGTTCACTTAAGACATAACCAACTACGTTTATGTGAATACTCGTCAAGACAGATATTTTAAAAGAATTCTATGTGCTTACGACCGTTCAAAAAAGAGCAATAAGGTGCTAAAGAGAACTATAAATGGGATCGCATGCTGTTTGAGAGAGGTGTCTTTCTGTGCGTGCGCTTCTGGCGTGTGGCAGTTTAGAGATCTTTTCCTTGGTTTATTGCACTTAATAACTCTGTTTAACATCAAGCATGTCCCACACTTTATTTCCTCATTCATGCATGGTCTTTTTGACATACTCAACTTTTTTATTTATATAGTCTATAATTAGAGTCAAAAATTTAATTAAAAAGACCTATCATACATTTGAATGTACTGTTTTATTGTAAATTTAGTTTTTATGCACCAATGCTTAATCGTTCACATCAGCATCGCGATGCATCTAATGATTGATGATGATTTTTCTGATTAAAAATTGTGATTGCAATTTTAAAAAAGGGTTTTATGCTAGATTGTAAGGCTGCACAATTTGTCCCAAAATTGTGTGATTTTTATATATTAATATGACTATAAATTATTATTACTATTATAATAATAAATAGAATATTAAACAATACAAAATATTACTGTTGTAATATTTGAATTTTTTTTAATGAAATAAAGAAAAATAATCATTTTATTTTGCAAAACATCTGTAAAATTACACTTATACTTCTGGCAGTCTTTCAAATGTTAAACCGTCAAGCTCTTATTTTGGCGGAAAACTGTGGGGGACCTGAAAACTGTTGGTTTATAAGCGCCGATCATAGCAAGTTTGGGAAGATGGTTGGCCCATGCTACATTCCCAAATGCACGTTACAAGCGACCCAAACTCCGAGCACGTGCAGAGATGAGTTCGTGTGGATCAGCATTTACTGCAAACCGTGCTGCTCGGAGATACCAAAAACTGCAGATCATGAGCTGCTCATATGTAAAAGGACACAGTGCCGCATTTCACTCTGAAACACACAGCGCATATATTTAATAAATTAAATCGCAGCCTTTCCTTTAATTTCCATTAAATCGCGATTTCTGTTTTATTTCGTTTAATTGTGCAGCCTTAACTTAAGATCTAGTTAGACTTGTAAGGTGTCTAGTTTTTCATTTGATTATTCATTTGCTGAGCTGATGCGGTTTCCAGTCTTTGTAATATTACATCATTAAAGTGTGTAGACTCAATGATGTAATATCACACAGAGGATCACTAAAAAGGGCCTAGGGTGGCATTTGGGACAGGGCTTGGCTGTATTTGAGAACAAGATGTATTATGAAAATCCCCCTTAGAAACACGTCAGCCTAATTATCCAGGACTTCCACAACCGACTAGTCATTCAGACAAGCCACTAACTAGCTGACTATGCTGTAATATGCAGTCTTGCACATCCCAGTTGAGATATGAAATCTAAATGTGTGCTGAAAATCCAGCTGCAACAAGACTACAGAAGTACAAATTAGAACAAGTACTTTTATATTGTATGATGGGTAATACTGTTCTCTAATGCTCCAGGTGAGCAGTAAAGACGAAGACTTCCTAGACCTCTCAGTGGACGTGGAGCAGAACACCTCCATCACACACTGTCTTAGGTAAAGCTACAAACCTCAAACGTCACGGACCAGTTGGTCCAAGTTCTTTGTTAAATGTTCATTAATGTGGAAGAATAATTTGTTGTCTCTGCGTTTTCAGGGGTTTCAGCAACACAGAGACCTTATGTAGTGAATACAAGTACTACTGTGAGCAATGCAGAAGTAAACAGGAGGCTCAGAAAAGGTTTGTAGCTGCAATAGACTGGCATGGCTGAAATCACTCTTGTCCCTGAGATGCATTTGCTGTGATATTCACATCAACCTATGTAAGCCTGATGCTATGGACCACCCCTGTCTATTCAGTATTTTCTTCCTCCCTGAATGCATCTTTTATCAGCATTAGGGCTAGATTTACTAAACAGGGCAAATTAGAGTGAGAGCTCAATTCCAAAAAAGCTCCAATAGGAGTGGAGAGTTCTGCGCGTGATCTACTAATGACACGCAAATTAAAGAACACAGATGCAGTCGGATCATTTCCATAATGACAAAAAGCAATCTACCAAGAGTTGCACAAATTAGTGTCTGATTTTAGATTGGCTTTTTTGTGCGTTAAATAATTGACTAGCGCAAACTTTGTAAATCGTCTTGCATGATTAATTTAAATACTCTCCTCCCAGAAATGTTGCATCTGAAAGGGAAACTCCTACAAATGCATTGCAATGAGGTCACACGCAAAAATAACCCTGTCCACGCCTTTTCAGTGCTGATTTTTGACTGCGTGTCTTTAGTAAGACCTGACAGTTGTTTTTTTAATGCCAAAGAGGGTTTGCCGTGGCACAAGCTGTTAGTAAATCTGCCCATTAGTGTGCTGGTTCTGTGCACAAAGAGGGGCATTTTAATCCTGAAGTATTTACCAGTTACAGTTGCTCAGGAAATTGGCAGTCTGAGAATGGAAATGGAATTTCAAGTTAAAATTGATCCTGTCTCTCCTTTTCCTTACAGGATGCGGGTGAAGAAATTACCCATGATCCTTGCCTTGCACTTAAAGCGCTTTAAGTATATGGACCAGCTTCATCGCTACACCAAGCTCTCCTATCGTGTAGTCTTCCCTCTGGAGCTGAGGCTCTTTAACACTTCTGGTGATGCGACCAACCCCGAACGATTGTACGACCTGGTGGCTGTAGTGGTGCACTGTGGGAGGTAGGTTTCGGATGTCACAGTCAATTTAACCAGTCAAACTACGTTTACATGAACAACAATTCCGGCATTTAGCCGATTAAGACAATACTCTGATTAAGAAACTACCATGTAAACAGAGATTTCTGATTTCCTTAATCCGGCTCGAGGCATACTCGAAGTTAACACAAATTGAATTAAGACGTGGAGTATTCCTATTTTAGTCGCATTATCGAAGTGCATTATAGACATGTACACACCTTACATGGCATGGCATGGGATCGTAATGACGTGTGCCATTAATCGATCTATGTTCTATAACATGTAAACCGGGAACATGAAAGCAATATTCTAAAAGCAACTCATGCAAACCCCTTGATCAGAATAATGTCTTATTCAGAATAAGGTCAATAATTAGATTACTGCTGTCCATGTAAACGTAGTCGATGTTTGTTATCTTGATTGGGGGTTTCATATTAACTTAAGAGCACAGCATGTTGTTTAAAGTCGGCATGAAATTAAATTTTACCCTATCTATTTTCTAAATGCATCTAATTGTGAAGTGAATGATTCATCCATGCATGTTTTCTTTTTTTAAATCGACGTTGTAATTTTTTGCTGGACTTTTCCAATCAGTTAGTCCGCTTAAACCCTGACCCTTTCTTACAACTGACTGTAAGCTTGCATTCAGTCCAATCAACAACCGATGGATAGAAGCCCCAGCCCAACACCCCCCCATAATCTGTTTGGAAGAAAAGTTGCTACTTCTGTTGCATCATGACTTTGGCTCACTTACTAATCAAAAAAATTCTGGTCTTTCACTAAACTAGTAACTGTCTCCCGCCTTTTTGAGCATAGATCTGGACTTAAATGGTTGTAACTCATGAAAGCTTAAATACAGACGTACGGTTGGCCTCTTTTTAAAGAAGAGACTCAGCAGATTATTGCAGAAGTGAAAGTTCAAGGGATAGTTCACCCAAAAAATGAAAATTCTGTCATTTACTTACAGTTCTTCCAAATATGTATACATTTCTTTCTTCTGTTCGATGGGCGTCGATGGGCGTCGATGGGCCCCGTTGACCTCCACATTATGAAGAAGAAAAAAAAATACTATGGAAGTCAATAGACCAATTTCCAGCCGACGTCACAGTTACGTCACGGCGCTAGCTGGGAAAACTGGAGGCGGCAAATACAAACCAGCAAAGATTCGGCTACAAAATAAGGATCTTAAATTATTCTTCTTATTATTAAATGTCATCTTGTTGTGTTGTTGGGTGCAAGAATCAATGAAAAATTAATATGCTTTATCTGCAATTTTTTATTTCTAGAAAATATTCACCTCATTAAAATTGCACCGTAATGTCACTCTTTACATTGTCGTCTTCATGGCGCTGGCTTGGCAGAACTGCGGATCGTAAGTTACCACACAAGTCTTGTACATGACCATTCAGCACATAGTTATAGGCATCTAAAGATTTATATGCCCTCGGTTTCAATATCAGGTAGGTGTAGAAGTCAGGCCACTCAACCGGAGGTAGAGTTAACGTTAATCCTGTCAGATCCTCAATGAGTGTACGGGTCGGCCAATCTGGTTCTGTTCGTTAAAATTAACTTTTGCAAATAACAATCGCGGCCCTGGACAGTGAGTGACCTTGCACATTAAGATAAAATCGGATTTTCTCCAGTCATTGTTAAAAACAAGCTAACAAAACTTGCAAACTAACGTTAGGGAAGCGGCCAGAGGGATCGTTCTACCACCACCTATGCTCCACCCACATAAAAACGTCACCATGTTTACCAACTGAAAATTGGTCTATAGGGCCCATTAACTTTTTGATTACCCATATTCTTCAAAATATCTTCTTTTTTGTTCATGAAAAGAAATAAATTCATACAGGTTTGGAAGAATGACAGAATTTTCATTTTTGAGTTTACTGTAAAGCAAATTTACTGAACTAAAAAAAAAAGTTTTATACAGAAAATATGTTTTACAAAATAATTTGGATTCTAAAATTGCTAGAAAATCAAAGCAATATGTCTAACCAAGTTGTGTTCCAAATTTAAGTTGATATCACAGAAACTGAAGCATTGAACTAAAAGGTTTTTAAGCATCTTTTCCATGGTAATGCAATGTCAATAAACAAAGCACACCAAGTGTCTGCTACCGGAACACTGACAGTTAACAGGCTAAAATTTAAAAATAGTAAAATAGCTTTTTTGCCAATATTCTTCATTTGTTAATCATATCTTTTTGGTATGCTTTCTTTTTTGTAGCGGGCCAAATCGAGGTCATTATATCACTATAGTGAAGAGTCACGGCTTCTGGCTTCTGTTTGATGATGACATTGTAGAGGTAAGTCGGTGTATAATTGTTGTTCTAGTTAAATTAATAATGTAATAATCTGGTTTAACTAATTTGTAACAGTATCCAGATAAAATAAATTAGACTTTTTCCTTATTTTTGCTCAAAATTAAAACATACATGCGTTCTTTTACTGAATAATACAGTTGCCCCATAGACTTCCAATGTACACTACCGTTCAAAAGTTTGGGGTCAGTGAGAATTTTATTTTTATTTTTTGGAGGAAAGAAATCAATACTTTTATTTATCAAGGAATAATTAATTTGATCGAAAGTGACAGTAAAGACATTTATAATGTTACAAAAGATTCTAACCCTAACCCTATTCATCAAAGAATCCTAAAAAAAAAAAAAAAAACTGTACAACTGACAGACCAACAACTGTTTCAACATTGATAATAATAATATATGTTTCTTGAGCATCAAATCCTCATATTATACTGATTTGTGAAGGATCATTTGACACTGAAGACACTGACACTGGTGATGCTGAAAATTCAGCTTTGATCACAGGAATAAATTACACTTTACTATATATTCACACAGAAAACAGATGATCTACACTGGACTAATATTTAATACTATAACTGATTTTTGTTGTATTTTTAATCAAATAAGCGCAGCCATGGTTAGCAGAAGAGAATTATTTTAAAAGTATTTAAAATCGTACCGACCCCAAACTTTTGAACGGTAGTGTATGTGCACATAATACTTTGTTTTCTGAGAGGTGAAATAATTTTCCCAAGTAATACTTTTGATAGAGCTTAAGTTGTATTTACCCCAGCATAGTCCTTTTGTTTCATTGTTTAAGAAGAGAACAAAGAAAGTAGAAGTATCTAAAAAACAAACACCCAAGACCTTGAAGCATCAGTTTCAGTTCAGCCAACTTGATTGTTTCTTCTTCCAACTGTCATTGCAGTGTTCATTTCCACATTTAGATTGCGGTGTCTAGCGATAATTGTATGATTGCAGCTCGAGGTATCTGGATGTCTAGCGCTGCACAGTAGCACATCTATTAACCCTCCCTGTCAGGTGATGTGCAGCTGCTGTTTATGCCTCACCAAGTGCTTGTCTGGAGTTGTCCTCACATTGACCCAAATACTTTGGAGTTCTCTGAATGATGGGAACTCTTGCATTAATGAGACCAAGACTTTCATTCATTTGGCAAGATTCACTTGATACTTAAAACATTTTACAAATCTTGATATGGAATGGAAGTTTGTTGTTTTTTTAAAGAAGAGCAATTTTTGTTGAAACATAGAGCCAATACCATATTTTCCATTACATCCTTGTGACACATGATTGTTTAGGTTTGTTCTACACTACTGGCTTAAAAAAATGTACCTTGACTCAACATTGAGACAGATTTTCCACCACCAGCATGCACATTTATAGTATAAATCAATTTGGTTTTAAAACACAGATGTGATATCCGCGCTGCTACACGGTAACCCAGACAAATATTTACTCGCATGTTATGAACACAAACTCTCAGGTGCTTCTCAGGACATGAAGTGGTTGTTGTACCATATTATTTTTTTTTTTTTGAAATACCAAGCACACAGTGGTGTTGTAAGTCTCTGGATGTTAAATGGAGGCAGAGTCTGTTTTTTCATTATCCCATGTCTTCCCAATTGCACATCTGTAATGAGAGATATGAATTGAGTGGGAAATTTTCAGTTAAAACGTGATGCAGATGCTTCAGAAGTAACTTAAAGGTGAATCAGTGTCATTTCACCACTTCCAGTGACGGCAAACAGAATATCTCAGTTTTCTTCGACCCTAATGTGAATGTTCTGTGTTATTAGTTGTGCACGTATCACATGCTTCACCTTTAAAGGGATGTCGTCCCAAACCTGTATGGCTTTCTTTCCTCTGTAAAACACAAAAGATATTTTCGGAATTGTATTGTATAGGCAAAAAATCTTGACAGAATATCCATTTTTGTTTGAAATATCCCTTTACTCATGTTGCTCCAAATCAATAAAACTTTTGTTCTTTGAAGATGTTTTAATGAAACCTGTGAGATTTCTGTCCCACTTCAAAAAGTTTATAAAATTTATGTAAACGTAATCCATATATGAATCAAGCAGGTTAATTACAGTCTGAAGAGACCCAATCACTTTATATGATGAACAGATTTAATTGAGCTTTTATTAACATCGTACATGCATAGAGCACATGAAATATGGTAAACCGACGCTCAAAGAAGCTTTCTTCACGTGCAAGAACCAAAGAGGTTTGTTCTCATGCACATTTACGCTGCTTTAAGAAACAATGAGGTTTGTTTTCATGAGTCAAGCAAGTTTTTTAAGTCCGCAATTAGCACAACATATAATAAACATGTTTTCCTTTGTATCCAGTAATCCTCTTTTTTTTTGTCCCCACAGAAAATAGATGCCCAAGCGATTGAGGAATTCTATGGTCTGACATCGGACATCTCCAAAAACTCAGAGTCAGGGTATATACTCTTCTATCAGTCTAGAGACTGAGCCAGCGGGAGTGACTGACGGAGTGGAAGGATGTGATTTGTGAGAGACCGGATGAGGCAGATAGTGGGCTTGGGCTTTGTTGACACAGCTTGGCCCTATGCTCCATCCCCTCTCAGTCAAGTCCCTTTTCATTCAGGCTTATCAGTGGAGCTTTGCACTGGAGCATCAATCGGGCCCCAGACAGGAGCAGTCGATGCCAGAGTGACCTGGACACAGCACAGTAATCACCAGGCAGAAGTAATCGCCGTCTGGTTCGCTGTCGTCTCACTCGCCTGCTTGGTGTTGCTCGGCACACACAAAAACGCACATATAAACATGTGAAAGAGCATCTTGATGGCCTGAGAATGGACACTGTACAAACTTTTTTTTTTCCACCACACACATTAACAAATTTAATTTCAGATAATCTGGTTCACTTCTCTGCACATCACATTCATCATCGCTGGGTTATGTGTCATGATCTGTTTTGGCACAATAGCTGCACAACGTTCTTCACCCTCAGATGTTCATCTGCAATGTCAAACATGACGCATCATGCTACATCCATGTCAACCAGCTAGTTATAAATATGTTGTTTGCAGAGCCAGTAACTCATGGTGTCATTAGAGTAGAGCTGCTCAATCTGAATGAAAAAACCTGACAGGGCTTACATTAGCATGAATGGTTAGGTTTTTTTTGTTTGTTTTGTTTTTTAAGAAGTTCAGGATTGATTTTATGTAGGGCTTATTGTAATGCAGGCCTGTGGATTGATGGGAGCTCTACTCTGTTAAGCAGAGAGGATTGTGGATACCAGAGAAGTGTGTGTATAAAGGATGTAGCTTGGCTTAAGAATGCTCTTTCAGTATTCAGTGAATGTAAAACATTCTGCCAGTTCTTGTGCACTGTGCAAAGTGAGTGTACAGCTTGATTATGTCATATAGTGCGCACTTAATAGTGCTCTAACTGTTGAGTTTCACAGATGGAGGTAGAAATCAGGGCTTTTTATTATTCTGAATATGTTGAAGCTCATAAATGCCTGTCGTATTGAAACCAAAAGCTGCACACGTTTCCACTCATGTTTCATTACCACTGTGGCACTGTGAGATTGTCTGAAATGAGTGTGGATTAGCCTCTTTCAGTTTAGCCGTTAAACAGTAGAAATGTTGGATAATTCAAACATAATATGACTCTGCACTCCATCATAAAGTCTTCTGATTCATTAGGCCGATTGAATTGGCTGCATCTATTGTGTTTAATCTCAGTAACACTTCTCTAGATCTCTCGTCTCCTCTGCCCTCTTAATTAATAACATTTTAACTGAATATAGACCTAGAAGGGAAGTGAAGCAAGAAGTGAAGTTGAAGTACAGGTTTAGGTCTGTCTGTGAATGTCAGGTTTAAGCGGTGACTTGGCCGGCATGGCTCTGTAATAGTTAGATTGGTTAAGGATTGTTTCTTTTTTGTGGATGTTGCTCAGCCTGGAGGATGAGTTACTTCTCCCAGTTGGTTCACAGCTAGTAAATATTTACAAGACAATTAGTCAAGCTTTAGAGGCAAAAATAAGCACACCCAGCTAGATTAGGTATTTGAGCCTAAATCTTGTAAGGCGAAAAGTATGTACAAGCGAGGTACCGCAGTAAAATATTCCAAGTTTGCTAAGGTTTCTTGAAAGAGTTTCAAACACACAATTGCCTAGCTTGTTGTCTTGTGGCTAAAGTAGATGGTATAAGAATGAAAAGGTTTTTTTTTCTTTTCATTTCAGGTTTCCTATGTAAACTACACTGGTTTTATTTGATTGTTGGTTTGACAAATCTGCTTTAATCTGTGAGGGGTCATAACTGACGCTGCTGCTGATTATTATTCCATTCATCCTGTAAAGTCTACTTGGTATCAATGCATGCATGGTATAACAACTCTTAACATTGTTATAAAGCATGTAAAAAGGTCTTTTAAACAAGACATCACAATGTCTGTAAAGAGGTTTAAGCGTCTTGCTTGTCAGTTAACCTACTGGCATTGCGTGTTTTAAGTAGACAACTATATGTTGAAATAAACTGACATATGGTGCCATTTCATGTAAATCACACACTCACACAGGGTATGTAAGAGTGTTTGTAGATGTCATCATCACATTTGAATGAAGGCTTCTCTAAGCTGAGTTAACTGGATATTTTGAATTTTTTTTAAATTGGCTTGTGATCTAGTAGTTACAGGGGAAGGAATTTTTATTTTATTTTTGCTCTTTTATATCATATAAGTTTATTTATGTGTAATTATAATTGTTATATTAACTTTTCTTTGACATTTCCATTTTTATACATTTGCTAATTAGTCCTTTATTTGGACACCAGGACTGTTGTATGTTATGTGGAGAGATGGTTGAAGCAAAAATGTAAGGGTGATAATGTTGGAATTATCAAATTAATGCTGCAAATTAATGCTCGAGAAGTTGTTACTAGTCATAGAAACCGTTAATGCACTGATCACAGTAACAGCACCCTGATGAGTGTTGGCATTAGCAGACAGACATCAACTACATTAAAACATGGGACAAAACACAATCTAATGCTACATCATGCTAGCATTAGTTGTTTCATTCCGCCTCTTCCCATAACATTGTAATATGTTTATTCCATACTGGGTTTTAAAAAAGTGCACTTTCGATAAAGCAATGTATAATAAAAAAAAAGTAAACCAGCTGAATAATCTGGTTTTGGAGTGGAGTGGACAGTGTGGATGAAAGATGGGACTGGATCACCTTGTCCCAAATAAAAACAAACAAAAACACATCAACCACCTCAAGGAGGTTCATATGGTCTCTGTTTCTTTATGATGTCATTAAACTGGGCAACACCCATGTGACTTCAAGCAATCATAGATTGTGCCATCATCATGTAATCACTTTAAGGAAGGTAACTTTTCGCAATGATATATTGTGAAAACATCTAAGCCTGGTTTCACAGACAGGGTTTAGATTAAGCCTTAGTTCAAATAGGACATTTACGTACCTGTATTAACTGTGCCTTAGAAAACATCACTGTGTGCATCTTAAGACAAAACAATGGCACTGACGCAAGTTGCTTTCAGTTAATACAGCTCAACATGCATTTTAGTCTGGGAAACGGGCTAGAGTAAGAGTTAAAGAAGCTAGTTCTCTTACGAGAGGTTCTCTCGTACTGCGTAATATCTTACGCTAGGGGAAAACCTCTTTTCCTCGAGATATTGAAGCCAAAAATTATCCTTAATTTTGAATTAATGTAAAACGCATTGCAGCAGCATGCAGACATAGGCAAAGGCGGCTAGCGTGCCTATTGGCTGCCCTGCGGCAATTGCAGCAGCCTATCGAGAGAGGCCCTTCTGTGACGGTCCAATGGGGACGTTTCGCGCCCACTGCGTCACCCTCTCGCCAAAACGGGCGTGGCCTAGCCCTATAAATATTTTCATTGTCATTTTTTTTCATTTATTTCGGTTTGGTCATTTACAGATCATTCAATCAATCAAATCATTCAAACTGTTACTGTTACGGTTACTGTGAATATAGCTCGATGGGCTGATATAATCTGATTTTCATCTCTTCAGCGAAGCTAACGCATCGCTGGATCCAGAGTGAGAAGCCGCGCCGTCGAGACAGCTTTCTGCGGGACGAGCCTCTGCACTGAAGTTGCTGGCCTTCAACTCGCCGCCTTCAGCCGCCGTTCCTGCTACGCTATCCGGCGTTCCAAATATCCTTTACTCTGCTCTGTGTGTGTGTGTGTTCGCCCCGCGACTCACGTCTATCATCTAAAAGAGCCGCGTCTTTTTAAAGATGCCTTCCTCCTGTGGCTCGTGCCGAGCCCCACTCAGCGACGGGGACGGCCATGTGATATGCGTTTCCTGCCTGGGAGAGGATCACGCTGCCCTCACTGCAAGCTATTGCCTATGGTGACTCTGAGGACTCGCCTGGCATCCTTCAGCGAGACTGCACTTCCACCCGCTACAGTGCCGCGTCGTAAAAAGCGCCGTACTCAGCGGGCCCCTGAGCCTTCTCTAGCCCGCGAAAGCTCGCCGGTTCGCCTGCCAGCTCGCCCGCCAGCTTCGCTCTGCTCGCTCACCGACGGACAACGGCCGCCATTTGCCGCCGCTTCCGATGACGACGAGCCAGCGTTTTCTGCAGAGGAGGCCAGCTGCTCTCTACTGGCGTCAGACAGTGAGGATTGGCCGAGCTCCGTGGACCTCCCCCCCTCTGCCCGTGAACCGTCAGGAAAACGAGCCAGCATCGAGTCGAAACCGATGCGTCTACTCTCGCAGGCCGTGGCGAGCCTCGGCCTCGAGTGGGAGGCGTCCGCGCGCAACCGACTGGATGGGTGTTTCCTTCGAGGTGACCGCGCCCAAAGTCCTTTTAGGCAAGTCATGCCACTCGGCCGCCATCTTGGCAACGCCTCTCTCGTGCGCGCGCTACACAGTTTGAAGCACAATATGTTGCTCGCTCGCTCTAGATTCCGGGAGATTTTAACTAATTTGCGGGCATCAGGGAGCCGCTATCAATCTGCGGGAGACTCCCGGAACTTCCGGGAGACTTGGGATGTCTGATATTTACACAACTCACACATACACTGCATATCAAATCTGCCGCCTTTTCAAACAGTAACGTATTTTCCGCTGTCGCAAACCTCAACTGTGCGGATGCGTCAGTGGAACCAGACGATAGGCTTAAATGTTTCCCGGCTTGACTGTTAAAAGCAGACGATTGGCTTTCCAGCGGGAGGGGCAGTACATGTGCATACAACCGTCATCTTTGGCGTTACGGGTTTTCCCTATATAGTTGTATTAAGGATTGAGGAAGTGGCATGTCTCTATATAAATAGTCTCTGCCGCGCCCCGCCGCCGTCTAAACCCGCGCCTTTTCTTCCTGAGATTCATGAAGAAGTCGCGAAGTCCTGGAACGCCCCCTTCTCAGCCCGAGTGCGTTCCTCTGTCTCTGCTGCATTCTCCGTGGTGGACGGTGCGAAAGACAGAGGTTACCACTCCCTTCCCCCGTGGAAGAAGCCGTAGCGCCATCTAAGGCTTACTGCACCACTTCAGCCTTGCACTCCCGCGCTTACACCGCCGCTGGGCAGGCTGTGTCGGCTCTTCATTCAATGGCCATACTGCAGATACTCCAGGCCGACCTTCTCCGAAAAATGGACGAGGAAGGCCAGGAAGCTATCAACGGGCCGGATTTACGGAGCGCTACAGACCTGGCTCTTCGCGCCGCGAAATCTGCTGCACAGGCCATTGGGCTGATTATGGCTTCTCTCACCGTCGCTGAGAGACACCTATGGTTGACGCTGTCGGAGATGCCGGACTCGGAGCGCTCTGTGTTCCTCGACGCGCCCATCTCCCCGACTGGCCTCTTCGGATCTTCTGTCAAAGATTTCGCGGAAAGATTCATCGAGGTTCAAAAGACGTCACAGGCTTTGAAGCACTTCCTCCCGAAGACACTATTGAGCAAAGGGGCAATAGAGCCCGTATATCAAGCTCAGAGCGAAGGGGGTCTGTACAGCAGATATTTCCTGGTACCAAAGAAAGATGGGGGTCTCAGACCCATTTTAGATCTAAGACAACTGAACAGAGCGCTTATGAAACGCCGGCTCACAACCAGCAAAATCCTCGCGCACATTTGCCAAGGGGACTGGTTTATGTCGATAGATCTGAAGGACGCTTATTTCCAGATACAAATAGCGTCACGTCACAGGCGATTTTTGAGATTCGCCTTCGAGGGCCAGGCATATCAATACACAGTCCTACCGTTCGGCCTGTCCCTGGGACCCCGTATATTTACGATGTGCATGGACGCGTCTCTCGCGCCCCTGAAACTTCAGGGCATTGCGAGTTTTGAATTATTTGGACGATTGGCTGATTCTAGCTCGATCTCATTCAGAGTTCATAGAACACAGGACCATATTATTCGAACACCTCGAGAATCTTAGTTTTAAAGTCAATTGGGCAAGAGCTCGCTGTCCCCCAGCCAGGAAATATCCTTTCTGGGCACAGAGCTGAATTTGCTGTCAATGACAGCGCGAATATCGCCAGAGCGCATACTAAACATTCAGCGCTTCACAAAATCCTTCCGCTGCGGCACTATAGTCCCGCTCAAGAGATTTCAGAAAATGCTGGGCCTCATGGCCTCAGCATCATCAGTACTCCAGCTGGGTCTGCTTCGCATGCACCTGCAGTGGTGGCTGAAAGCACGAGTGCCGTCTCGAGCTTGGGCCTCCGGTCTGTTTTGCCTCAGGGTCAATCAGAAATGCGTCGCAGCTCTGAAACCTTGGAAGGCGACCGACTGGTACCAGTCAGGTGTAAACCTGGGGACTTCCTCGAGTGTGCAGGTGGTGTCCACGGACGCCTACACCTCGGGATGGGGAGCACTGCTCGAAGGCAGACCGTTCTTCGGCCTATGGTCAGAACGAGAGAAGCTCCTACACATCAACTGTCTAGAAATGATGGCAGTCGATCATGCGCTGAGGCGCGTCTGTCCCCGAATAAGAGGTCACCACGTCTTGGTCCGCTCGGACAACATGTCAGTGGTAGCCTACATAAATCACCAGGGCGGCGTCAGATCCCGAAACCTTTACAGGCTGATTGAATGCCTTCTGGACTGGGCTCAGCACAATCTGCGCTCACTGAGAGCAGCACATGTGCCTGGTCACCTTAATTTGGGACCAGACAGACTGTCCAGAAACAATGTTCCAGCAGGAGAATGGTCTCTGCACCCGCGGACGATCCTCATGCTGTGGGAGACATTCGGCAGAACGCAGGTAGACCTGTTTGCGTCCCAAGAGAACGCTCACTGCCCAAAGTTTTCCTCCAAGAGCAGGGATGCGCTGGCCCACGTCTGGCCCCGCTGCCCCCTCTATGCTTTTCCCCCCATCTCGCTCCTGCCTCAGGTATTGGAACGAATAAGGGAAAACGGATGCTCAGTGCTTCTTGTGGCCCCGCTCTGGACAAACCAAGTGTGGTTTCCAGTCCTGATGCAGCTGGCGAGCACTCCCCCATGGCCAATACCGATGAGGAAAGACCTCCTCTCTCAAGCCAAGGGCTCGATTTGGCATCCTCACCCGGAGCTCTGGTCCCTGCACGCATGGGCCATCAACGGGTACCCGCAAACCTCCAGAGGGAGCGCTGAACACTATCACGCAGGCTAGAGCGCCGTCTACTAGACGACTCTATGCCTCAAAATGGTCGGTGTTTGCTAATTGGTGCAAAGCCCAAGGTTTTTTACCCTTAGACTGCGGGGTTACGGAAGTTCTCTCCTTCCTTCAAGAGCTGCTGGATAAGGGCAGAACCCCATCCACGCTCAAAGGTTATGTGGCGGCCATAGCTGCGTTTACAAAACCTGTGACTGGCCAGTCACTGGGGAAGAATGATCTGGTTATCCGCTTCCTTAAAGGAGCTAAGAGGCTGAATCCTCCCAGACCCCCCTCAATCCCCATATGGGACCTTTCCCCGGTTCTGGAAGCCATGAAAGGTGCCCCATTTGAGTCAATCCATTTGTCGGACATAAAGCACCTGTCGTTCAAGACAGTGTTTCTTATGGCTCTCGCTTCAGTAAAGCGCATAGGGGATTTGCAAGCGCTCTCAGTGAGCGCGACGTGTTTGGAATTTGGGCCAAATGACTCGAAAGTCATACTCAAACCAAGACATGGAGATGTGCCTAAATCCCTCAATACACCGTTCAGAGCCCAGGTTATTTCCCTGTCCGCCCTGCCGGTTTATAACGAGGAGAAGGACGCAAGCTTATTTTGCCCAGTCAGGGCATTAAGAGCGTATGTGTCTCGCTCGTCAGTCTTCAGACAGACTGAGCAGCTTTTCGTTTCGTTCAGCGGTCGTACTAAGGGACTAGCCGCGTCGAAACAAAGCTTATCCAGATGGATCGTTGATGCCATAGCGCTGGCATACACGACAAAGGGCCTCAAGTGCCCTTTAGGTGTCAAAGCGCACTCCACAAGAGGCATGGCCTCGTCGTGGGCGTGGTCTAGTGGGATTACCCTACAAGATATCTGTATGGCGGCAGGCTGGGCCTCCCCGTCTACATTTATAAGGTTTTATAACCTAGAGGTTCCCGCCTTACAGGCTAAACTGCTGTCGGTATAAAATCAAGTATTATCTGCCCCGTACTTCGGCCCAGAATACTTCAATCGCTTGAGCGCAGCTCGTTAACCGACCAAAAGCTAACATGGGCAAAGTAAGACCCATACTGTTGCACAGCTCAGGCCGAATGTTTTTCACCCTGACTGTGTGGAACACTATAAAGTGATTAGCTCCCTTAGGATGCTAAAAGTTATTGGGAATGATGCTTCTAGCCTCTCTTCTCAGACTCTCTGTGAGTCCATGGTGATTGTGCACTATATGAGCCCCGGGCACCTGCCCTTGGGACTTTGGTGTCGGATCCCAGCACGCACAGCGTTTTACACTGTGTTCCCCTAGCGTAAGATATTACGCAGTACGAGAGAACCTCTCGTAAGAGAACGTTCTTGGTTACTAACGTAACCTCGGTTCTCTCTAGAAGAGGGACCGAGTACTGCGTATCTTTGCCGTGCCTGCAACACGCTCTGGTTCGCTTCGGCGATGAAAACCAGATTATATCAGCCCATCGAGCTATATTTATAGGGCTAGGCCACGCCCGTTTCGGCGGGAGGGTGACGCAGTGGGCGCGAAGCGTCCCAATTGGACCGTCACAGAAGGGCCTCTCTCGATAGGCTGCTGCAATTGCCGCAAGGCAGCCAATAGGCACGCTAGCCGCCTTTGTCTATGCCTGCATGCTGCTGCAATGCGTTTTACATTAATTCAAAATTAAGGATAATTTTTGGCTTTAATATCTCGAGGAAAAGAGGTTTTCCCGTAGCGTAAGATATTACGCAGTACTCGTTCCCTCTTCTAGAGAGAACCGAGGTTACGTTAGTAACAGAGTACGTTCTTTCTAATCCTCCTTAACTCTCCTGTTTAGAGATTGACATGTAGTGGAAACGCATCTTAAAGGTGCATTCAGTAGTTTGATGCTAATTAAAAATGTTTTATAGATTAAGAAATATATTGTGTTCGTGTTAAGAGTCGTTTTAATGTTGTATACACATTAAATGAAGACTGCACTCATAATAGTTTTCTATAAAGTGTTTTAATTATGTATGATGCGGGTCCACCCCTTGTGTTGAAACGACGAAGATAATCCTCTTGCTCATTGGCGGCCGCATCTGTAGATCCGCTATTAGCGTAATGTTGTTTGGTGATGCGATATTGATGGAACACAGTACACTATTTTATCGTGCTTTACAAGCGAAGACAACGGGAGAATCGCTCAATGTACAGATTAAGAAGTAGAAAATGTCTAAAGCCAGGAGACCAACAAAGACCAAAAAACTACCGTAAAGGTGGAAAGTGTTGATGACGGAGAAAATCCTCTTGAATTATGAATTGAATCTTTTTTTATTGGGCAGGTAAAGGGAATTAATTATTGTGTAGAGCTCGCTTTTTAAAACTCGCTAGTATCACTTCCATTTACATAAAACTCTGAGCTGATCCAAATCAACACACTGCCTTCACGTGCTCTAGGAAAACTCGTTCCTTCGAATCGACTGTTCGCCATTACGAGTGGGAAACATAGCATGGAAGTAGTCTAAACAAAACAAAATAATCATATTGTAAACATTAAACCCAACTAACTAGATTCGAATTTAAAATGATGAAAAAATATTAATTTTAAACTAAATATGAAGCAAACTGACCATACAGGCTTGATTTCCGCTCACTATTGCCTTGCCAGTATGTTTCTAGCATGTTATATGTTTGGCAACAGTAGCTTTTCATTTCTTAAACAACCATGTGAGAGACACATCATGGCCATATTCCAGGATGACAATTGTCAAGATTCATCATGCTCTCATGCTCAAATTGTGAAAGAATGGTTGGGGAGAGAGAATGAATTCAAGAAACATTTTCACACATGAATTGGCACCTCTGAGGCCAGACCTTAAATTCATAATTCAATATTTGCCCTTTCATCTATGTAAATGTGTATTTATTGGTCAGTATGGCATTTAAGCTTGGTAGGTTGATTGTATTAGAGTTTGGAGTTTTTATTAGACTGCCAGCTATAGAAATGGCAATGCTCACTCTGAACAGTTTCACCCTTATTGGAGGAAATCCTGCCTTTAATCCAAAACAACAGTGAGTCCAGCATTAATAGAGATCATTTCAGATATTTGGACAGGATCTAGTCAAATGCAAGTTTAATGTCAATGTAATGTTGACACCAGTATCACCCCCTTGTGGTTCAGTGATGCCATGAGTTCAGAGCATGTTCTCCAAAAGGTAAAAAGTTATCAAAAATATCCCATCCTTCAAAGAAAGTCTTCCACTCCACCTAATTTTTCTGAGACTGTGAATGGTCGTTGAAGAAGTTTTGCAGCGAAGGGCTTCTCCTGACAACAGGTATCTGAAAAGCAACATGTACAACATTTAAGGGTACAGATCAAAAGAATTCAAAGCTACCAAATGTACTATATACACTTTATTTAAAAAAAGGACATGTTTAAGTTGTTGATATATGTAAAAGCTTCAATAATGATGAAGACCAAGCCTCAATCAGCTGCCAATACATCAGAAAAGTACTTCAGAAAGCTTCAATGCTAATGTAACCAAATATAATACGAGATGTCAGCCTTTGACTATTTTGAAATTTTCAGTTCCTGCTGAGTGCATGTTGAGGATTCATGTATATAAAAGATGCTTTCTATTTAGAAAAGGTTAATTACAGCGTATGCTATATATGCAGTTCTGACAGGTTTATAATAATTCTTTTGATAATCTATGCTCTTTTTCTAGAAGAGTGGGGTTAGTTAAGATTATATTATATAAACAGTATAGTGTCCACAGATAGATTATATCTGTGTGTGTATCTACTGGCAGTTCTCTCTCTACAATTGTACAGGTCCACCCACACACACACACACACACACACCCCCCCACACACACACACACACACAACCCCCACACTACATCTGTTCATCTATGGGTCATACTATAGTCTCTGAGCCTGACACCTTGCCAGTGAAAAAGTCCCAGAAGTTGCTTGGCGGCTTGCTGTCGTCTGACGTCGTGGATGAGGTGTTGGAGCTCTGTCGAACCCAGATGCCCCTCTCTCTAGGACTCTGTGGTTGCGAGCCACTGTCCTGCCGCCCCAGACTGAAATGAAGGCGCTCCTCTGAGCAGGTCTGTCTTGAAACACCTTGCCTCTGCTCCTGGAGCTCATCACTCTGGGCATTAGCGGAAGACTGGGTCAGACTCAGCAGGTTGTGGTGGGAATGAAACTGCCTCATTTTAACGATGGACTTGGGTGGAACCTCAGAGGAGCCTGTTATACAAAGCATAAAAGAATATCAATACAATATTTGCTTGCATTCATTTACACAAGGGAAAGCACACTACCATTCAAATGTTTGGAAGATTTTTTTAAGAGTAATGAATATTTTATTCAGCAAAGAATGGATTAATTGATCATATACTATATTATCAATATTTCACAATATTACTGTTTCTACTGACTCCCTACTTATCCCAACATTTGAATGGTAGTGTAGATTATAATTCCATAATTACAATTGAGGGAGAAAACAGATTCCCAAAAGTAGGAAGTAGATATTACTAGTCTAACAACTGACTCATTGAGAAGAACTCGGCACTACTCACGTTTCCTGTTAGTGTTAAGATGAAGAACATTGAGGAAGACCTCACTGCTCAGACTTCCTATCGCAGATGTCTCTGGATAAAGAGGACACAGTGGCTCCAGGGATGACAGGTCATCACTGGACTGACCCACAGAGTCCAGAGATGCCTGTGTGTCCCTCCGTCCACCAGAGTCCGTCTGTATTGTAAGGCTGCTACTACTGCTGTCACAAAGGAGAGATGTTTTAGACTCAGTGTTAAGAGTGAGGAAAAAATGCAGTCTAGTAGTTTTTAACTTATTAACCATGTAAACATAATACTGTCTGTGTTGTAGAGGTCTGTCCTTTAAGATAAAGAAAGCAATTATATGTCAAATTCTTTAGATTAAGTTACATTATACAGTGCAACAGCGCACACTTTTTCAGTGGCCTTTGTTCCAGAAGTACTTTTCACATACATTTTCCCAACATGGAGTTTTCATTAAAGAGTTAAAGGGATGAACCAAACCAACCAGCTATGAGGTAAATCACAACATTACAAACTTCTGATGTGAAGTGATGCGTTTTAGTAAGAAAAATATCCATATTTATAACTTTATAAACTATAATCACTGTCTTCCGGTAACGGCTGTAGTTTCGGCGGGAGAGTGACCTCTGACCCGACGCATGACGTAAGATGTGGGAGTAGTTCAAATAAACAGGGCTGGTCAACAAACTCAAGCTCCTCCGACATTTCTCTTTAAAAATTCTTGTTTTAGACTTCTAATTCATGACCGGTGTTTAGTTTTGCTCTATTCACCGGAACTAGACTTGCAGATGGAACGGAAGCCAGTGATTATAGTTTATAAAGTTATTAAATATGGATATTTGTCTCACAAAAGCGCATCGCTTCGCTTCAGAAGACTTTTATCAACCCCCTGGAGCCGTATTAGATTACTGTTATGATGGATGCGCTTTTCAGGAGCTTCAAAAGCTCTATTCATTCCCATTATAAAGCTTGGAAGAACCAGGATATTTTTTAATATAACTCGGATTGTGTTTGGCTGAAAGAAGAAAGCCATATACACCTAGGATGACTTGAGGGTGACTAAATTATTGAATCATTTTCATTTTAACCTTTAAAGGTTATTGTTAAAAAATAATGAGTTTTTACTTCCGGAGCCCGACTATTGCTCTAATAAAATCCCATATTCATTATAGATTATTCTTCTATTAGATCTATTATCAGTCAGCTGACCTGAGTTTCCTGCGCAGCAGATAGTCAATGACGTCAGGGTCCGTCTGAATGAGGCTCATGAGCACCTCCTGCTGCAGCTCAGCAGACACCTGTGCATGAAATAAAAAACGCCCACTCGAGAAATAATTCAACAAAGTCATCTTTCAAGCTCTGTGCATGCAAAAAGATATCATGCATCATATCTAGGCCTACGATATTATCCATTGTTCTGTTCTCCCAGAAAAACATTGAAACTTAATTTTTTACCCAAAAATTTTATTATTTTATCATTTCCACATATGGCTTTCTTCCATGAAACACAATAGGAGAAATTCTGGAGGTCTGGTGGCCTTTTGAAATGTTAAAGCTTCAGTCTCCATTGCATTTTTCCTTTTGTGTTCCACAGATGTGAGTTTGGAACAACATTTTTCTTGTTTTGAGTGACCTAATAGTACTCCCTCTTTTCTCTCTTATCATTCCACACCTCCACTGATCTCTCTCTCACCATGAAGAGGTGTTGGTGGTTCTGGAGGAGCATTAGGGTGACGGAGATGATGGCAGTGCTGTCCTCTATGCCCAGAGCTTGAGGGCTGAGCTCTCTCTCTGATCCTCTCTCTTTCTGCAGGAGATTGGGCCCAAAGATCACCGCCAGGTTTGCTGCTGTCATCTTGTTACCTGAGATCTAAATCACAACACCAATTTAAAAACAGGTCAGAACCTTGATTTGATTTCTAAAATTTGATTCGACCAATAGTGACAGTCTGGTGGGAGTGTTATATCATTTATTGAGTACTGGCATTATTAAATCTGGTACTGTCAGTTACAGGACAATGGTTTGTTGGTTTACACAAGGGGCTAGGTTCCAATCCTGCTGAGCGGATTTATATATTTTATTTATTTATTTTGCAGGTATCTGTCAGTGGATGTATATAAGGGGCAGCAGTGCATACCCTTCATATCCAGCTCCAGCTCAAAGATATAAGGTGAATATACCAGACTTTTTGAGTGCGTCCAGTTTATGAATTTCAGTAGTTCAGAATGCACTGCTAAAGGTTTTGCTGTCACAAATAGGCAAACCCTAACCCTAATACTATAAACTAATGCGGAATGTGCTGGGGTATATCAATTAATATAAATCATACTAAGTGATGTTTTTTGAAAATGTAAAAGTGCTGAAAGTTTTTTGGGATGAGTAGGTTTAGGGGTAGGGGATATAATACAGTATAAAAAAAAACTGTTTATGGAAAGTCCCTATAAAACATGGAAACCCAACGTGTGTGTGTACAGTATGTATATAATATATGTAATCCTTGAATTGCAATGGTCTCTTTTGGCACATAGCTATCAGAAAAACTCAATTTAGTTTAAGTATTTAAAAACAATGTCCAGCTATGACATTGCCACTCATACCACACTTAACTGAAACATCCCTTGTTTTTACATAATAAAAAAAATTCACAATAAATTTTCTTTGGTAAAAACATCTGTACCATAAATGACAACTATACCATACCTCCTGCTGGTTGGGTCCAGTGGAGCTTTTCGCGTTCTCCTGTACTATATGAAGGAGTGTCAGGAGCCTCAGCAGAGTGTCACAATTACAGGCTGGCAACAAGTACAACAACTGCTGCAGGTATGTCAACTGATCTGCCCCTCTCAACTCTGTGAGATAGACACAAAACATCTCGTAAGGTGAGCGTATGTCATAACAGCTAATACAGTAATGAGAAGTGTGATGGATATTTATGGAATAACACCATTAAACTGTGTATGCCGATTCCCGTAAAATAATAGATGTTAAATCATTTGTGAATGCCTGTCTTTACGACAGTATGCTCATACGGTTAGCGTGCAGAAAGGCCTGGTAGAGTTCTCGTGGTAACAGGGGGTCAGGCATGTCCCTCAGAAACTCCTTCAGTAACGCAGCCACGTCATGAACGCTGTGTTCCTCGTCTAACACGACATCTATCCCAATGTCAAAGTCCTCGCGCAGCTGAAAACACACAAGGATAAAACATTATCAAACAAACTGCCACCACACACAAGACTCAAGTATCCCATGTATCCTGTTCCTGTATAAACACAGCATAATATACACACACACACACAAATCACAGTCAGTCTGAGGTCAGCTATGAAAACAAGACACTGTACATGCTATGATCATTATTTAAAACAGTCACTGTTAAGGAGACTGTCATTGCACAAATAGATAAAACAGTGTGTCAGTATCATACTGACAGCAGTGTGTTTCTAGATATGAAAGACAGGGGGCGCATGCCACATGCGAGAGACAAAGGTTGTGTATGGTGCAGTGATGTAAACTGGCTCTAGAGAGCAGATGGAACTAACAAACTTACCTGACGGACTCTTTTTTTGGAGCTGCCTACACGGAAAATCCCTAAAGTTTGTAATCCTGGAGAGAGAGAGAGAGAGAGAGAGAGAGAGAGAGAGAGAGAGAGAGAGAGAGAGAGAGAGAGAGAGAGAGAGAGAGAGAGAGAGAGAGAGAGAGAGAGAGAGAGAGAGAGAGAGAGAGAGAGAGAGAGATAGTAAACAAGTGCTGGGCTCATATTTCATCTTCCTGATTTGATATTGGTTTGACTGTTTTTGAGTGGTGTCTCATCTGGGTGACCTTATATTTGTAACCTAAACCAAGGGTGTGTTATGAGCCTGAGGATGTACTCAAATTAGTTCACTTATGTTTCAGGGAAAGAACTAAATTCTCAAAAAGTACTTGGGTTTATATTCAGTATTTCTAACATGGCGTTTCTAACTACTCCCAGATAGTTCATAAGCATTTCACTTATGACACTTAAAGTGGTCTTCAAATCAGATCAAATCATTCTTGAATTAGAATAAATTCAAATTTTAATTAAGTAGAAAGAATAAAATTCAAAGAAATTAAAGTATACAAACACACATGCTTTTATGAGCATGCACAAAACATACAAGGTATTTCCAGGAACATGTTAAAAATACAATGTTTGAAATGCCACCTATGTGTATTGTATTATTTTTAATTAATGACGTTTAATGGTGGAATATCACTTTATTTTCCACAACAAACTAATTTACTTATTCAAAATCCCAGCTAAAAAAAATGATTCTAAAACTTTTTGCTAACATTCCCATTAAGTTATATCTGAATGTTCCCTGAACTTTCAAAACGGCAGTTTTTTAAATGTAATAAAAGCATTTTATCTTTGTTAACGAACGTTATGGAAACATTCCATTTTGTAATTTTGCAAACATTATGAAAACATTCCTTTTGAATTTTCTCGTAACAAACAAGTAGTAAAAAAAAACATTATACAAACGGCCAACTAAAATGTTTCAGAAAAAAAATGTTCCATGAAGGATTTAATACATGTTGATATTTTAAGAACATCTTTAAAGACCAAATAACATTGAACGAGCATTCTAATAATGTTACTGGAAGAACATTTGTACATAACTTTAAAAGAACCTTGCCATAACTTTACGCAGCCCCTAAAGGAACATGATGATGGAAAAAATATATAAGATGGGCGGAAAAAATTGTCAATGCTTTAGAGTTCTCTCGCAAATCATTGGGTAACGCTTCATTTTACAGTACGGTACTTACGTGTACTTACAGTGTACTTACCTAGAAAGTACTGGCTAATATAAGGTAAGTACATGGGTTAGGGGTAGGTTTAGGGGTAGGTTCAGAGTTAGTGCCTAGTTATTACCCAGTAATTATAATTACTATAATAAGTACATAGTAAGTACATGGGTAACAGGACTGTAAAAGGAAGCGTTACCAATCATTGGTATTCCCTACCCTGAGAAACTTTGTGCTCGCTCGCAATATGTTTTCATTCTCCTGAGAAACTTTGTATTAACTCGCAAAAAAGTTTCTTGGGGGAATGCAAATGTTTTGCGAGCGAACGCAAAGTTTCTCTGGGGAATGCAAAAGTTTTTCGAATGAACGCAAAAGTCTTGAAACATATTTTTCCATCTCATTTTTTTCAACTAGAAAGTTCTGAGAATGTTCCCTGTTGGGATGGAGCTAAAATAATAATATAAAGTTGTCTAAATACAATGTGGTGTATAATTTGTAGAGCTGTATGTTAAAATGGAAATTGTTTTGATGGATGGGTTAATTTTAACATTAATTTGTTAATTTAACTTCATATAGAGAAATGTTTAATCAGTTAAAGATTCAGAAAAAGTACTATACGTAAGAATAGACATAATCAAATGAAAAAGCCTAATGAAATTTCCCTACTGTTTCAAACTTGTTTCAATTGCAATTCAGTCAATTTCTTTGCCTGCCAGTCTAATTCAATTTTCAATTCAACTTCCTGTGCCAATTTAAACTTAACGACTGGACATGTTGTGCTGTAATGGGGTTTGCAGCTCACCGTAGTTCTGGATGTGGTTACAGCAGCGCTCTACCACTCGGGGAACTTGTCTGTAGATGGGGTTGAGACTGAGTTTGGCCTGTGTTCGACCAGCAGCCTTTTTCATCTCCAGCTCATTAGGGTGAGAAAGCTGCAGAGCTTCCAGTAGTCTGGACTGACTCTCAACCAGATCAGAGATGCAGTCTACAGACATCCCTCCCTGATATAGAGAGAAATAAAAGATAGTTAGTCATTAAAGGAGAACTCCGGCGCAAAATGAACCTTTAGTCTAATAACACAGTGGTACCTAGTCAACCGTTCTCTGAGATTTGTTTTCATGATAATCGAATGTAAAGAGTTTTATCTCTAAAAACTGTTTAGCGTATAACGCTAGTATATAGGGCATAGAGTAATGAAAAATAAAGATCGCTAGTTAATACCACTAACAAGGCTCAAAATAGCCCCACACTAACACGGTAGCATAATGAGGGTCCCTACAATGCAAACCGAAGCATTGAGAACTTTAGAAGTGTACAGACAGTTTAATAAGAAGATATTTTATAAAGACAGTCCACTTCGCGTATACAGACAGGCGTTCGTGGTTCGACTTGTCGAGACTGTTTTCCAAAGATGGCTCCTGCCTGTATACGCGAAGTGGACTGTCTTTATAAAATACTGTGTTATTAGACCAAAGGTTCATTTTGCGCCGGAGTTCTCCTTTAAGGTCAATAGTCACAGGAATGACGGTTAAGGCATATGGCGAACGTAAGGCGTAGACGATGAAGGTCAGAATGACAACATAAATTTGAGCGAAAGCCTGTTCTATTTACAATGGATTATTAAAACTGGTAAACACCTGAAACACTTTCACACTGATCAGTGGAGCTCAAAGACAGTTAGACAGAAAAAAATGAACACAATAAATCTATTTATGCTATATATACAAAAGAAATGTACACAGATTTTATAAAAACTTTTCAAATGTCAACACAATGATGACTGAATGTCAGTAATCTGTTCTTTTTCCTTTCTCTCTCCATGTTTGGGTGGACAGAATGGATAGTTTGATTTGGCAAAGACACAGACATAGATCTCATTCCCTCCTGCTGATATGTAGCCACCCATAGAGATGTTGTCTCCAGTCATAGAGAGAGGTATGGAAATCTCGCATACGGCATCAAACAATAACCTGAATCACGCCGACTGCTGCCTGTCTCAGTAATAACAAACATCTTAGCCATTATTAACATGAGGAATACCATAATGTTTATGATATTCCTCAAATTAATATTCATAATCTACACTTTACTTGATGTCTGTGTTACCTTGAACTAATTAACACTGTTTTATTTATTGAAGTGGCCATAACAATTCCTTTATGTCAAGTCTGTCACATTTATTTATATAGCGCTTTATTCAATACAGATTGTTGAAAAGCAGCTTCACAGTAATAAACAGGAAAATAACAGTCTAAAAGCTCAATAAATAATAGTGAAACGACTTCAATTTCAGCTCTACAGAAGACAATAGTGTCTTCTTTACTTTAATTTAGTTCATTGTTGATTAAATTCAGTTCAATGACGGTGTCAGTGTTTTAAAGCTCATCAATTACTTTTAAAAAGTCATTTTTTTAATGTTTCGTCAGTTTTTTTTTTAATCAAATATTGTTTTAACTGTCCCATCCTTCAGTCTTTTTTAAAGCCTATATGATCACTCAGTGAAATGTGCAGAATAAACTCAAGATCAGACTGAAATGATCAAATAAAATATAAATTAATTTTGTTTAATTTTGTTTAAAATTGTATCAAAATTCATTTGAATTTTATATTTAAATGTATTGTTATTATTTGTTTAATTATAATTTGATGACACTTCCTGAAAATTAACTTTATATAACTTTTTAGATATAGAACATACCAGTCTGTTTAACAGTATTTCAAAAGACCAAGGAAAATCTGATTCCTCAAATGATTTAATGAAGCATTTCTGTCCTTTTTGTATTTCTATTTCTCTTTTTATAACTTTTATTCTTGACAGAGTAAATGAGAACAGTGAATTATCTCTTTTTTTTTTGTTGCTTTTTTATGAACAAGTTGCTTAGATTGGGTTATAAGCCTCAGCCAGAATTTTATCTGTGAGATGTACCATATCGACCATATTCTTTGAATGCCAGGTTAGTGATATCAAGCAGTTTCTATTGGCCCTGATTTATATTTGTGTATATAGTGTCTTTTCCTCTTATTTGAGATGTCAGCAACAATCTCTCACAGCAACAACGCAAGGCAACTACTATGCAGTTGAAGTCGCTTGAAGCCGCAACAACTGAACCTTGAATCGAAAAGAGTTTGTAAGCAAAAAGGAGAAAGGACAGTACATGTAATAAAACATGAATCAACATCGCATAGCCTCACATTTGCTGTGCATTGACTAGTTTCACAAAACAATGTCTTTTGGTAACAATACCAGTTACTATTTTCCCATATTTGCCTTGCCAAGTTACTTTCCACCCTTGTCCGATATGAATAGCAATCGTTATGTCTAATTTCAAGTGTTGGCAAACTCAAAAAACAATGGCATATAAACGACTTGCTCATAAGACATATTTTTCAAATAGCCTATATCCGTCTTTCATTATTGGGAGAGTTTTGTTAGTGACATTCACACTGCTAAAGCGTTCATCTGTAATCAAGCCATCAGATTCATCCGCGCGGAATACCGGACCTGAAGCACAACTCGCATAATGACCAAAACAATGTTCCTCTGCAAGTAACTTGTAGTTTTATGCTTCAACTGCTACAGGGTCAAACGTACATACAGTAGTGTAGCTTTAAATGTACATACCACAGCTTTTAGGAAATATGACTTTTGATGAGCTTTCTCGTGAGGATGTTTGGTATACTTCTAAAGAAATATGCACACATTGTTTCCCTTACCCGTCTGTGTGAGCGTGAGGTGTTGTCCATGAATGCTGATGTGGGAGGTTTGCTGTGGACCTCCAATGCTGGTGTTGAGGCAGCACCAGGTGAAAAGGCTGTATTGCCCAGTGGCCGGTTTCCATTTTGCTGCGATTTCTCGGCCCGGAAGTGAAGAACACTGGCCTCCAGGTCCAGACAGTCCCGTCGGCTCTCTTTCAGAGCATCCTGCCGCTGCTTGTGTGCCCGATCGTTTGCGATTACCTGGGCGAGAGGGATACCGAATGCTTTGGCCGCAGACTCTGTGGGAGAGACAACAAACAAATGATTTTAACAGTAGGCCTATGGACCTTTTAATTCATCTTTATTTAAGTGCACGCTTTAAAGTTTCCATAGGTTCCTTCCAAATCAATGAATTCTCTTAGATGTAAGAAACATGTCAAATTTTTTGAAAGGACACTGCTAGTTTTTACACTATACATTTCAGGAAGGGAGTGTGTGAAAAATGGCATACTCTTCCTTTATCTTGGAAAATAATGACTCTGAGGTTTTTGCAATGACATTTGATATATGCAATTATCAGTCTATTCTTCTTGTTCATTTACTGTTCATTTACACACTTTACAGTGCTTCAACAGCACTATTTTTGTACTTACACTTACATTCTATATATGAGCAAAGTCAAATTTTAAGAAAGAAGGTATACTTTACCATTCACCAATAGGAAATGTGTTGCAATTTGACACTAGACACTACAGGCAGAACCATTGCTTTTTCATGCACTGGTCAATTTTGAGATTTTGCTTCCATAACCTATCTTTTTTTCTTCTTTTTTTTTGACCAATGGAAAGAAAACATCTAAAATACACATTTAAGTGTTTGATTGTATTACACTTTACTATTTGTGTCTGTAGATTTCAATTACAAATCATATCTTTAAACACAGTTTTCTCAAAATGAGTTTTTTTTCTTCTGCACAGAGTCAGAAATCTCCACTCCATTAGCACTTACACCAGACATTCCAGTTTTATTTCCTGGCTTTATCCAATGTTCAGATTTCTGGTCTGGAAATGTAAGCAAATTAGTGCATTTTTTATAAGAAAATGCATTATTTGCATATTTAAACAACCTTTCATCAAACAGTTGTGTTTATGTAGGCTACTGTGATTAATCAGCAGGGGAAAGTATACCAATATCAATCAGTTAAAAGTTTTACATTCACCTGCAGTATCTTGCCTTAATAATACAAAAATATGTTAATATTTAATTGTCCCCTGTGGCTTATTTTTGGCCTATTTAAAAAAAAACCTGCATGTTTGATATGTTAAATAAAGCTTTAAGTATTAACATATTTGCATATGTTAAATAAAGTTGCATTTAAGATCCATCTGCCACAAATCACATTTAGATTTTTACATGACTTGAAAGTATTTATAAACACTATAATGTTTCAGATATCTTCAGCTTCAGTATGATCCTTTTGAAGAAAAAAAGTGCAATATTACCTTGTCTTTTAACCAGAAATTGCAATGATAAAAACAACTGTTACTAGTTTGTCCATTTTTAGGTCCATCTGTAGGTAAGCCTTTAAGACAGTTAACATTTTACTTGATTGACTGACTGCTGAACTAATTCAAACATGAGACGTATTAGCACTTCAAAAATCAAATCCACTTGACTTTTGCAGGATCTCACATGCATTATTTTAATTAAAAAAAGCTTTATTTAACATATTATTTTAAAGCAGCTTAACTGTGATTGAACTTAACCCATCCAAGCTATTTATATCGATGGGGAGGTACAAAGACGTGTATACGTAAAGCACTTTTAAATAGCAAATTTAACACCCTAAAAGGACTACACTGAGCTTACAGCTGATCTGTTTTGGCTGGCAATGTAACACAAAAGCAAAGCAGCCTTGTATTCTCTTCTCTTCTCATCTCCTCCCTCCCCTCTTCACAATCCCTTTTCTTCTATCGCTGCCCCAAGGCTTAAAGATCTGGTGGCGGGTCAGGTTGGTCTGGTCCACTGGCCGCTAGTCCTCTGATAAGCTGGATGGATATGGGGATTGAGTCTTCTTTAAAGATGTTCCTCCCTCCACCCTATCAGCCTAGTCCTTCATTCAGCCCTCCCCTCCTGCCACATTGTGCCTGAACGTGGAGCTGACGCACATGCTGAAAACAAGTGCCAGACTGTGGTTGCAGGTGGCAGGCGTTTGGCAGAATGCCAGGAACACGGTCAAACAAATCCAACTGACTGAGGAATCAGTGCTGCATTAGCACCGGCAGCGCTCAGAGCAGCTCTGAGATCAGTTTGAGCTCTTCAAGCAAAGTTAAATACTATAACTATAAGTTACTTTGCAACTACATGTCAACTAACTCTCATTACAGTATTAGTAGACTGTTAAGTTATAGGGTTAAGTGTTAAGGTTAGTAGAATAAGTTGACATAGTTGCAAGGTTACTTTTAGTTAGTAGACTGTCGGAAGTGGACCATTGAAATAAAGCATTACTATTATTATTTACAACATTATTATGTAGGCTACAACACAGCATTATAGTGTTTCAAACATCCACTGGGTTTAGTAAGATTTTTTTTAAAGAAATTCATACTTTTATTCAGCAAGGATGCATTAAATTGATCAAAGGTGTATGAATGAGTGAGTGAATGGGTGAATATGACGCAATATGTAAAGTGCTTTGGTGGCCATTGGGTCTGTGAAAGCGCTACATAAATGCAGTCCATTTAAAGACAGTTACAAAAGATTACTATTTCAAATAAATTCGGTTCTTTTGAACTTTCTATTTATCAAAAAATCCTGACAAAACTGTGTCATGGTTCCACACAAAAATATTAAGCAGCGCAACTGTTTTTAACATTGAGAATAATAGGAGCAGCTATATTTATTATAAATATAGTATTGAGCAGCAAATTTGCATATTACGATTTCTGAAGGATCATGTGACACTAAAGACTGGAGTAATGATGCTGAAAATTCAGCTTTGCATCACTAGAATAAATGAGATTTTAAAATATATTAAAAAAGAAAACAGTTATTTTAAATTGTTCGCTAAATTACTGTTTTTACTGTATTTTAGATTAAATAAGAAAACAGTTATTTTAAATTGTTTTGCTAAATTACTGTTTTTACTGTATTTTAGATTAAATAAGCCTTGGTGAGCAAAATACATTTCTGTCAAAATCAACAATAAATCTTACCAACCCTAAACTTTCGAATGATAATGTAGTTGTCAAATTCTGTCAAAATTCTATACAATTCAAAAGTCTGCAAAAAGCAGCTCTCCAGTCTTTGATGAGTATCCTCACGTAAACTGGTTTTACTGTTTACACACATTATACAGTTTGAAAGAATTGTTATTAGTTTCAGAATCGTTTAGATGGTTTCAGCATGTGAGTCAGTATCCAGTATTTGAGCCTCTAAAATTATCCCTAGACAAAAACTAAGATGAACACTTAAATAGAAAGCAATGAACATGGCATTGCAGGGATGCAGATTGTTGAGAGTAAAGCTACATTAATGTAAAGTATCCTGTGTCTTAAAGTCTTAAAGCTGTGTGTCTTAAAGGCCTATGAGAGATTTGCAAGAACTGTGACCCACCAAACAGTCTTGGCAACCAGACTCTGAGGATTCACAGCGGAGGCCACCATTTTTAAGTAACTGCTAAGTCTCTATTCTGCCATGTTCACTAAAAAAAGACTTTGTAGTGTTTTTATTACTATTATTACAGTTGTAATGTTTTAACAAGGACATCATGAAGATGGTTATTTAAGTGGACAAATATAAGTTTCATTATCATTTTATCGTGGTTTAAAATAAAAGAGATCACTTGAAGACAAGACAAAGTATATATTGGTTGTTTATCAGAGATACACGACCACCATCTGTGCTCAGGAATGCTGCCTGGCAAACACTTAAAGTCCCCATGAATTCAAAATTGACCATACTTACTTTGTTTGCCTAAATTGATCGTTTTGTGGTGAACAATTCATCCATGCAAGTCAATCCACAAAAAAAAATTTTTTGGCTTCGTAATCTTTAATCAAAATCTGAAATTTCCCCTCCCCTCTGCGTTGGAGGACCTTGCCTGATGACGTAGGTTTCACGGTTTGGGCGTCTTCTTAACATCCGTAATCACGCCCCTCCAACTGACAGTAGACAGGCTGAATGAAAACACCTACTTTTTATGTACATGTGTTCAAAGAAAACCATCTCTCAGAGAGCGCGCGAGTACTGAATAGTTTAAAATCGCTTGAATGTTCAAACTGGTAAGACTTAAAAAGATGTGCAAATGGTAAACTTTAGTTACTCACGATGCAATGCTGGCCCGATTATGCAAGTGACAAATCCGTCATGTCACGACTCCCAAACGTGAGAGCAGCGTGCTTGACGATTGCCTTGTGCAACCCATTTTGAGAGACTAGCCATTTTTCCATCCAATTGTCAATCTAATTATCTGAAGTTCGGTAAAAAACCTCATGCGAATAAAGCTGGTGAAAGTGTGTTTCCATCAAACGGCTTTAAAGCGGATAAAAACCTGTGTGTAATGACGTCACATACTGTTTTGTGATCAAATTGGTATATCGAATTGATTTGAGACATGTTAAGGTGTTTCCATTCATTTTCTCACCGAATTGCACAACATTCAAGCCAACATTTGCGAACAAAGTTTTACTAGGCAAAATGGATCGCACCATAATAACGTTTCCATCTGCGTTTATCGCATAAGCCGTATATCGATCAAGATAAAATCCGATGAGACCGATCGTTTTTTATTTGAGTCGATATTCATGAAATTCAATCGAATTTTACTGTTTCCATAAGGCATTTTTCATTCGATATCACTTAATGCGGATAAAAACGTGTGGATGGAAACATAGCTAATGAGAGAAGATGCTGCACCGCTGAACACTCACGCTGTTATGGCAGGTTATGGCAAAATATGGCAAGTTATTTTGCTTAAGTTTCCAATTGACTAAAGATATAATGTATTATATTATATTATAAGCACTTTATGTTGTTAATAAATGTTTTAAATTTGACAATGTAGTGTGGTACATTGCGAACAAAGGTCAGATATTATATTGCATAAAAGTATATTCTAAAAATGGCATAGCAACCTGTGCTTTAAAAAAAAAAAATGTAAAAATCGAGAATCAAATCGAACCGTGTCCTTAGAATCGAAAATTCAATCGAATCGAAGATTTGGAGAATCGTGACACCCCTATTAAAGACAATGTGATTCACCACTCTCAAACCTTTTTAATTATGTATTGACAGAATGGGAATGACAGATTTAAAATTAAAACAAGATATTCAACAACATCTTTTGACTACTCAAAAGTAGTCCGTGCAAATGACTACTTTTGTAGTCATTTACACAGGTTGCATGAGATTTAAAGATCTGTGAAAAATGTTATATGATAATCTCTTACCTCGCTCTTTCTTTTCTTTTGAGAAGGAGTCAAACTTTCTCCGTAGTGATTTCCTTCTCTTACGAATCTCTGGAGAGAAAAAAAAACAAGATTATGGTTGGTTTTGTGTATAGATCTGTAAAAAATGTTGTTGCAATTAGTTAAAAACTATTTCAAATTTGTTGAGATAACTTAAATATCCAACTTAACTAAACTAAATTAACGTTAACTAAACTTAATAAGTCAAGCATGAACACCTACTTTTTTAAGTTGAAACAACACAGTATTTCTTATTCTAATGTTGAATTTTAAAGGGATAGTTAACCTCGAGTTAGTTCACGTAGTATAACTGCGCAACGCTTCTGGTTGTACGTCACACGCATCACACACATGACCAGCGTTGGCCAATTAGTGAGCCTACGTGTGACGTACAACCCAGAAGCGCTGCGCTGTTACACTACGCGAACTCACGTCAGAGGCCCACAGAGAAGGAAAGGAATAAAGTCGTTCTTTTTGTTTGTTTTTTTTGCGCACAAAAAGTATTCTCGTCGCTTGATAAACTTAAGATTGAGCCACTGTAGTCACTTGGACTATTTTAACAATGTCTTTAATAACCTTTCTGGGCCGGCAAGTTTCAATCCCTTAGAAGCCTATGGAGGAGTGATCCAGCTCTCAGATTTAATCAAAAATATCTTAATTTGTGTTCTGAAGAAAGTCTTACGGGGTTGGAACAACATGAGGGTGAGTAATTACTGACAGAATTTTCATTATGGGGTGAGCTAACCCTTGAGCTAAGGTGTGATAAATAATCACAGCAATCTTTTTCTTAGTTTTTTTACATGAAAAAAATATATACACATATATCATAACATATGTCATAACACAAAATATATTATGTTACTAAATTAAATGTTGACAATACTTTTCAAAAGTTTGGGGTCGGTAAGATTTTTGTTATGTTTTTGAAAGAAGTCTCTTATGCTCACCACAGTAAAATATATTATATAGTATTATATTTCTTTGTTTAAACAGTGATTTTTGATGAATAGAAAATTCAGAAGAACAGTGTCACTCCGGAACAATCCATTCTTGTTGAAATAGTATTAATTTCTTCCCGAAAAAAATCTTACTGACCCCAAACTTATAAATGGCGTTGTATTAAATTCTAATGCTTAAAGCTTCTGATTTGCATACCAAATGCAATATGTTTATCACGCATTTAAAGACATAAAATAGCTAGTGGCACATTCAGTAACACAAGCATCCTAACGGATGCATGTAACAGCAAGTCTTCCATTCCCAAAATTAAAATGTGTTCCATTTAGATGGCTGATAGTGAAGCAAAACCCATTAAGCACCAAGAATGGGGACAGAGCTGGCAAGGCAAGCACAATATAAAACCTTCATATTCAGTGAAGGCTGTGAGGAACACAAAATTGGAAGCAAAAACATTTCCTGGATAGATAAACAGCCACAATTATCCTTCATTTTTGCTAGAGAAAGAGTATTCTTTCCAAATGTAGAGCTGAAATTAAGTAGCTAAACTAAAATACCTTTGTCTGTGTGTTTTCATAACCCTGATGTACTCTGTCTATACGGCCCTTAGGAGAACAGTAAAAGTGGGATGAATTGCGATTCCCTTTAGTGGGTTTAAAACTTCCTCCACAACATTTTAAACTCAAACCAATAGTTGTGTTTACACCATCAAACCTTTTCCTCCTTAAGTTCGGTTATTTTGTTGTGCCCTGAACTTAAAAAGATATACTTTGACTGTCTTGAATCAAATTAATTCATAAAGAGGTCTGAGTTGTGGAGCTGAGGAGAAAAATGTAAAAGATGCTGTTGAGAGGTCCAGAGAGATAGAGAAAACAAAAAGGGATTGCAGCACAAGCAGAGGGGCTTTAGGTGGGGTCATATTCCCATGACTGCAGGAAATGAGAGTTTATTTCTATGGCAACTGCCCCCAACCTTCCCCACACGCCAAGTCATCATGGGCTAAAGCCCCCATCAGAGGGATGATTAGGGGAATGAACAGAGAGCACGCAGAGATATTTGCCTGATTTAGGATAAATAATCTCTTCAGGCCAAAGCAGAGATTGAAAACAAAGTAAAGGAGCAAGAGACTGAAACAAAACAATGACAACAAGTCAACAGCTTCAGCCTGCATACAGCTAGAGTTTACAAAGATTAAGAATCACAATATTTCAAACAGCATGCAGCAAGTTTGAAAAATGTAACTTTCAAAAAGCCACCAGCTAACCAGAAGATTTAAAAAAGCCAAACGCAGAGGTCAATCACTCATGACATGCTTTCTGAATTCTCTTAAGTGTCTTTCACAAAGTTTAATTTAACTCTCCAAAGGACATTCATCTTCCCCAAAAATAGCTGCCAAACACGGTGATGACAATTCCAAGAGGAGCGGCTGAGTAAACCACCAGGCTGAATCTGACAGATTTCTCCTTTGGGAGGAAAATGTTACATACATTTTCCCATAAATTGTGGTGGCTGCTTCCCCATGGGTCAGCTAGAGTGCCGGATGAGGTCTTCTCACAGATGACCAGTTGAAAACTTCTATTGCGAATAGAGGATGACCTTTCCTGATCTGACCATGTGAAGTTGCTTGTACGTGCTGGGAATACCACTTCCTACAAAACAATGTGGTTTTCCATGGTAGGACAAAAGGGGACTCTCGCATGATACCTCAAAACACAAACACATAGGACTGGCTAGGATGGCTTGATGAGGGTGAGTAAATTATGGGATAATTTTCATTTTTGGGTGAAATAACCCTTTAATGTTTAACTGTCTACAACAAACTGGTTTGATTCATGACCCCAAAACTCAACAGAACCAAAAATGTTCATTGTAAAAATGTACACTACAATTTCTTTCAAACCAAAAATTAAAATGTCATAAAAGTACAATGAACTCCAAAGGCTCAACAATATACAAAATTATTAACATGACAAATGTATAATATTTATCTTGCATGGTTTTCCTTATGGATTTCAGGGATAAGGACATGTCACCCAATCTGTCTATGTTGACATCTGCCTAATTTGGCTGCTTCTGCCAAGTGACAGATGAATTTGTATTAAATTACCTTGATTGAAGACACAGCCAACAAAATATATAAGTCTATTTACAGCCATGCACAATAATATGGTTAATTACATTTTATAAATTGGATTTAGAACTATTTTTTCCTTGCTGTCCATGACGAAGCGGCCTGGAACCTATTTTTAGGTCATGATGAGCCAACACTGGTGTTTAACAATCTAGGTATTGTGTTCGTGCGGCACTGCTGTACTCTATCTTACATTCGCCTTTTCCTCATAGCAGAATCTTATCTGAAGAATTTATTTTTGGAAATCCCCCCAAAATACCTATGAATTGACTGTGATGTATTTGCATGGGTATTTGATAAGCATCTGTCTGAAACAATCATATCTTGACTGTGTGACTCTGCAAGTTATCGTGCATTTAAATCTATGCACTACTCATTACGAATTGTCACAAAACGTGTTTCAACACGCATATCACTGTAAAGGAAATGTACCTCTAGGAATGCTGATCTTAAAGTCCAAGTCTCTTCTTTCCAAGTGGTAAAGGGCCACCTCCTGCAGACGTGCTCTTTCGAGCTCTGAGAGGCTTTGGATGGCAACCGGCTGCAGCCTCACGCTCTGCCCCAGCATGGTGGCCCACGTATGGTCACCCTGAGAAAGAGACAGGCACGGAAAGAAAGAAAGCAGAAGTGAAACATTGAAAGCATTATTTTCAGTCTCAGCCTGCCTTTTTTTTTTGTCAGAGTTTGGTTGTGACCCAGCTCAAACACACCTGTTTGTCATTTTAAAGGGAAGCTGATTCATGTGTTTTTGATCAGAGCTGGAATTCTGCAACAAGGCATTTCTCCAGGATTTACCCTGCTGAAAGTGATATAGTGCAGTTAAAGTGCTTTGCACACCTCTTACAAACCATCCATTAAATATTGTACAGCAAAAGTTGGGGTTAAAGGGTGTAAAATCACTCCCAACAGTCTTCAAGAGACATTTTTAGACATTCACACTTTTAGATATTTCTCCCTAATAGGAACATGTCTAGATAAACATGCCCTAAAAGGCCCTGTATGGGATACTTAAAACACAAAAAGCCTACAGGTCTAAGCACTTAAAACATGCTATATGCAAAAAACGCTATTTGAGCTTCTTTGTTTAATTTGGGTTCAAGGATGGCTACTTTTAGACTTGGCAGCAGGACTGTATTGGGTAAACATACAATAGCTAGTGGACATTTTTTGACCTTATGTAATTCCTCTGACAGCTCACATCCTGTGTGTAGTCATATGTGTTGGCACATCTGATGTGATGACAACAATGAGAAGAACTGAAAGCTAAAACAATTACTGAAAGGAAATGTGCAGCTGATCAGCCTTGATGCTTACTAGAATAATGCTAACTATTAAAACACAAAGTCTTGTCCTGCTCTATAACTGAGAGATGTCAACATATCCAATTTTAGAGTACCAAATGTGTTAAGTGCTCTTAAATTGTTAGAATCAAATCTATGTATCCAAAACCAATTACGAAGTGACTGAACCTCTACATGAGGCAATTTAGCTTGATTCTCTGGTTCTAAAGCCCCAATCATTAATTGACTGATTAAATGAACGTGCGAGTTGTCATCTCACTAGCGTTTAATTGAAAGCAGGAGTGTGTCTGTAATCTGTTTACTTGTGTCCACGTGGGAGGTCACTTTCCACTCGAGTTGTGGTCACGCAACATACTAACCGGTGTCGAGAAAAGGACAAAGGTCACAGGTTGTGCTCTGTTTATTAAGAGATCAGTGAAAACAGCATGACATCCATCAAATATCCTGTTGATACCAGTATTTCGATTGCAAGTAGTAACTGTAAACTGTTATTTGTGAGGCCATCTCTTTTTGAGTTATTATTGTAAATTCATATTCAAACAAAGGAGGTGTTATATTATGTAACTGTAAGCATCCCTTTACAATCTTTTATAGGATCATTGAGATATAAGTTGCAAACTGTACTTGTAAAACAACAGAAAAGCTACTGTTGTGTTGATTGGCTGAGCAATATGTTCATTAATGTCGTGTCATTTCAGAGTGGGAAGATGAGAGAGTCTTCAGGGCAATTCAAGGCACAAAATCTTTCCTTTCCCCCTCCTCCGCTCTGCCCTTCTATTTCTCACATACACTGTCCCTTCTTTTAAAACAAAACAGAAAAGGTCATGAACGAAGGGAAGAGCAAAACACAAACACATGTAGCATTACACCATTCTTCAAAGCCCACTGAAACCCAAACCACCATCAATCATCAGGAGTATTGTGCTCATTTACTGGACACAAAAGCTTTTGTGAGAAACACTTGCCTTCAAGAAACCAAGCAGCCATAACAAACTCGACACACGTCCTATATGACGTACAAGGAATTAATGTAGTCATGTTATGATTCAGGCTTAATTAAGTGCATGCTTATAAGATAATTATAGTTAATTCAAACATAGGCAAATTTGAGTGTATATCATCTAAGAAGAAACACACTCCACACCACTCCAGTTGGGATCAAGTGTTTATAGGATATAAACAGTGTAGGGTAAGTTACTCTAAAAAAGTCAATAGCTACTAATTACATATTCAACATAAAAATAAAAATATTGCATTACTTATTACTAATTACTTTCTAAATCCCATATCAACCTTGACCAGTTCAGGATAGACATGAAACTGCTCTTTTAATTATTTTAATTAAATAATATAATGTTGCATAAATTATCCTTGGACTGACCAAAATATTTAAACATTAGACATTCAATTTTGATGTTAAATCTACTATTGTTTTACTGTGTAGATTGTTCTATAGTATTTAATGCAATTACATCTGTTACGTCCCAGGGCATACTGTGTTATTTTTCTTTGTTAATTCTCTGATTTCTTGATGTTGTGACCTGTTATTGTGTGCAGTTCGTTGTCTCTCTCTTTTTCTCCCTCTCCCTCTGAGCGGGGCTTGATTGGTGATCATTTTCTCTTGTTTACTGGTCAGTTAGGGAGTAAGGGAAGGCTGTTGTACTTTCTTTGGGATTTTTCTTTTGTTAGGTAAGTTACATTAATTCCTCTTTAGTTAGAACCACTTTTGTTTGTTATTTTGGCCTGAAACCCCTCCTGAAGATTCACGCTTCCTGTTATTTATTTCTGTGTAAATAAAAAAAGCTTATTTTTGACACTATCTCGTTCTGTGGTACTTGAGCTGGGTCAGGCGAAGGGATATTTCAATCCAATTGTTGTTGTTTTTTGTCATCGGCATTCCTAACCCCAGACGGGGAGGTCGTGACACATCAAAAGTAACTGTAATTAAAATACAGACCAATTAAGATCCCGTACTTTACTTTTTCAAGGGAAGAGTAATTCAATTGCAGCAATTAATTACTTAGTAATGAATTACACCCAACACTCACTGGATATAAAAGTGATTATAGGATATACTGTCAATGTAGGATAGTACCTTATATTTCGCTGTGCAAAAATTCAACTAAAAACAACACTGAACAACACAAGAGAACAGTGAGAGTACCATCACTTCCATTCGGAATAAAAATGAATTATAGCTAAAGAACTCTAAAAAGTTCAGTAGATGGTGTTCATAAAATGTATCCACTACAAAAATTCCAACCCTCAACAATCAAACCCTACTAACCCAAAAACATCTTGAAACCCCTAAGAAGAGGAGACCATAAAGAGCTGAGAATGAGACAAAACTGCATGTGTGAAGCGCCGTCGCTCCATGAAAAGACCAAGACTTAAATATTTGTTTTTTGTTGTAGTTATGGACCTATTACATTTCAAAACTAGTCACACAGTGAGCACAACAGCAGTCTATGTCTATGTGTGCTAAATTGTGGATTATGTATCATTGCTTTGGCACAAAATGCTCTCAAATTACATAATTTCTTTTCCATGTATACATGCCAATTTGAACATGCTTACATGTTCTTTTCAAAACTTAAGTTTAAAACCGAACATAATACACAACAATTTGCTACATTTCTACAGTAATACCATATTGAAATATAGCCTATTACAAATCTAAAAATAAAAAAAAACTATCAAAAAGATTAGATGTAGTTAAATACCTACACAGGTGTTTTCAATGTCATTACCATCTATACAAAAGGGGAAAACTAGGGAATATATGTTTGTACTGTAATGTAAACATGGACCACATATAACATATACTGCAGTGAATTCTAAACAGCTGAGAGTGTCATTCTTGTTTTGTAAAGATTTTTTGGTAACACTTTATAATAACTGCATGCTATTAATCATTTGTTAAGCATGAGTAAACAGTTAATTAATCATTTATAAAGCATTAATAGACATTAATAAGCAGTTTATAAATACAGCTATAAACGCTTTTTTTCTTGATTTATAGGCATATCTATAATGCGTTTAATAATTGTATTTTCATACTTTGTTAATGATCAATTAATAATTTCTAAATGAAGTGTAGCATTATTTACAAACAAGAGTTGTCAGTCATTCATAAGATCACTTAGAAAGTGTAAGTAAATGTAGTAAATACAGGTAGTTATAAAGCATTTAGTAGTGGTCAGTTAACTATTTTGTGAGCTAATCTGAAGTGAGGACTATTCATGCCTTGTAAAGCATTTATAAAGGAGATTTGAAGGCGCATCAATCTTCTAAACAGTAAAATGTAACAAACACAACACAGTGATACAGAACATAGAAATATTTAACAGCCTTTAAATCTCGATTTATAAATGCTTTACAAGGCATGAATAGTCCTCACTTTAGATGAGCTCACAAACATAGTTAACTGACCACTACTAAATGCTTTATAACTACCCGAATTAACCCTGAATTACAGCATAAATGCATGTTAACAAAGCATTTATTAACACACTAAGTACTATATGTCTGAATAATAAGATGTATGAATGTACATTTAAATAGTTTATTAATCATTTACTTACACGTTCTAAGTAATCTTATGAACCACTGAAAACTCTTAAATAACTGGTTTATAAAAAATGCAATTATTCATTTAGAAATAATAAATTGATCATTAATAAAGGATGAAAATACAATTATTAAATAAATTATGGATATGCTTGTAAATCAAGAAGAAAGCATTTATAGCTGTATTTATAAACTGCTTATTAATGTCTATTAATGCTTTATGAATGATGAATTAACTGTTTACTCATGCTTAACTAATGATTATTAGCGTGTAGTTATTATAAAGTGTCACCGATTTTTTTTTACAAAAGAAAACATTGTATAATGCTGCCTGACTGTTGTTGGTGTTTTTTAGGTCATTGAGTGACAAAGTATGTTTGTTAAGTGAAAACCTTTGTGTTATGGAAGAATGACTTGATTTGAGACACGTATGAAGTGTTTTGGTAGTTTTAGTGCATTCTGAATTCGAAATTTACTGCTATGCCAAGCTGAAAGGTGATAAAGAGGACTGTGTGAAGAGTTTTGAAAAAGTGACCTATTGAGAAATGGGCCGTAGTGATTGTAAAAAAAAAAAAACTTTAATACATACGCGATACGCCTATCTACAAAAGTTATACAAAGAAATAATGATGATTGTGCCAAATTAGGCAGAGTTGGCACAAACATAATAGCAAAATTGAAACTGAAAGTTATCAGTTAAAATTAATCTGATAAAACA